CCTAAGAGATTCTTCCATACTATCTCTTCCAGAATGTGTCCCATTATGATAATTCTGGACAATTTCTACAGCTAGCGATGCTGGAATAACTATTCTTCCATCTTCTAACTGATACCAATTCTTCTCCAAATATTTCCCAGCTTCAGTCTTTAACCACTCTACTTCTTGAGCTGTATAAACTGGAGTCCACTGGGACAGAGGGGTCGGTATAAGAGCTGCTACACACTCCACATATTCTTTTTGTCCGGATTCAGCGGCACGCTTAGCTGCACTATCTGCCATCCGATTTCCTTTCACTACATCACCATCACCTTTCAGATGTGCTCGACAATGCATGATACCAACTTCCTTCGGCTCCCATACAGCTTCCAATAGTCGTAATATCTCAGCTGCATACTTGATTTCTTTTCCTTCTGAGGTCAGTAATCTTCTTTCTTTATACAAAGTTCCAGGGGCATGAGTGGTTAAAAACGCGTACTTTGAGTCTGTAGTTGTCACTGCATATCCGGCATAGCGAATCCCTTCTTTCACGTAACTACTGCCGTCCGTGTAATACTGAACATCGGGGTTCTGGATGGGAAAATCATGAAGGTCCGGTCTACTTGAGAACACTTCATCCATTACCTCCAGGCAATCATGTCGACTCTCAGTAGGTTGCGGCAAGAGGGTAGCTGGGTTCAAGGTATTAACAGTCTCAAGATGCACTCTCGGGTTCTCGCATAACATGGCTTGATACTTAGTTATGCGGCTATTGCTAAACCAATGATTACCTTTATAGTCTAGCAACGTCTGTACTGCGTGCGGGACTCGCACATAGAGTTCCTGACCCAGAGTGAGCTTGTCAGCTTCTGCTACCAACAGGGCGGCGGCAGCTACGGCCCTTAGACAAGGAGGAAGACCACTGGCTACTGCATCCAGTTGTTTGGACATATACGCAACAGGTCGTTGCCATGATCCCAGATACTGTCAGTACTCCCACAGCCATCCTTCTTTGCTCGTGTACATATAAGTAGAATGGACGTGTATGATCAGGTAGACCTAATGCGGGGGCACTCATCAATGCCTTCTTAACATCCTCAAATGCCTTCTGCTGTTCGATGGTCCACAGGAAGGAATCATGTTCCGTGCCTTTAATAGCCGCATAGAGGGGTTTCGCCAGTATCGCATAACTGGGAATCCATATCCTACAGAAGCCTGCTGCCCCTAAGAATTCTCGCACTTGTCTTCTATTCTTAGGTGCTGGTATTTGGCATACAGCCTCTTTTCTTTAAGGCCCCATTATCCTTTAACCTTCAGAGATATGGAATCCCAGATACTTGACAGTTGGCTGACACAACTGAGCTTTCTTCCTGGACACCTTGTATCCTGCCTTCCAAAGAATGTGCAGTAAATCATAAGTTGCTTGCTGGCATATCTCTTTAGTAACTGCCGCTATCAACAAATCATCCACTTATTGTAGTAGTACACATTCTCCTGGGATGGACTTGAAATCTAATAAGTCCTGACTTAATGCTGATCCAAATAGGGTAGGTGAATTTTTAAACCCTTGGGGCAATCTTGTCCAGGTCATCTGACGTTTTGAGCCTGTTACAGCATCTTCCCATTGGAATGCAAAGATACACTGGCTTTCTGTAGCAATTCGTAGGCAAAAGAAGGCATCTTTAAGGTCCAAGACTGTAAAGTAAGTAGCCCCACCCGGAATCAGGCAAGCAGGTTATAAGGATTGGGCACAACTGGATGTATACTTACTACCGCATCATTGACTGCTCTCAAATCCTGCACAGGATGATACTCATCTGCCCAGGCTTCTGAACAGGCAACAATGGAGTATTCCAGGGGGAAGTACAGAATTTTAGGATACCATACCTTATGAACTTATCCAAATAAGACTGTATGTTCTTCTTCGCCTTTTGAGGTATATGGTATTGTTGCAGGCTTACTGGATAAACCCCAAGCTTTAGTTCAATGCGTATAGGTGGGATATTGCGAACAAGTCCTGGTGGGTTATTTTCTGCCCACACTCCTGGTATATTATACAAGGATTCATCACTTTTAGGGTTTTGACTTGTCATCACTGTATAAAGTCGCCACTCTTCTTCCTTTGGTACTGATAGTGTCATTATACCTGAGGGTCCATTAAACTTCAAGGATGTCGTTCCAGAAATGTTATCTGCGCTTGTAACTTCGACAACAAATCCCGTCCTAGGAGTTGGACTGGACATTCAGACATGTAAAGAAACTGATGTTTCACTACGTGGCCTCCCAGTGTACAGACTTGACTTTTGAGAACCGGTTTAGCAGCACTCCTCCCAGTTGCTCCTATTACAGTGATAGTTCTTCCTGAAGGAGGAGCAACTAGGTCGGTTACCACAGAATGTTCAGCACCAGTGTCGATCATGAAAGAACTTCTTTTTCCCCCTATTGCTACATCGACCATAGGCTCCGCTCGACCAAGGGGGATGGAGCTCGGTCGGTATCAATAGTCCTCCATGACAGTGTCAGCCAAACCCATAAAGTCCCTATCTTCTTTCTCGCGGTCTCTGCGCTGCTGGGTAATACCTATCCCCTTGAACGCTTCCTCTACTATTCCCACCATTTCCTCCAGGGCCTCCTCTTCCTCTCACTCTACCTCTATAGTTATTACTATATCCTCCCCTTGTTCTATCTCTCTCATGTTGTTCCATCAATGGACACTCACTCCTCCAATGCCCTTCTTCCCTACAATATGCGCATTGGTTCCTACTTAAAGGCTCCCTATTTCACTTATTCTCGCTTTTCTCGGTTCCCCTGTACACTTCCTTTTCCCTTCTATCTACACCAGCGATAGCTACCGCTAACATATCTGCCTTCCTTCTCATCTTACCCTCTTCTTCCTTCTTCGTCTCTGTCTCCCTATTCATATAAACCTTATTTGCTATTTCCATTAGTTGAGTTATAGACATCCCTACAAATCCTTCTAGCTTTTGCAATTTTCTTTTAATATCTCCGTAAGCCTGGCTGACAAAGGCAGAGTTAACCATCTGGGAATTCTCAGGAGCCTCTGGACTAAAGGGGGTATACAATCGGTATGCCTCCAATAATCGGTCATAAAAGGCACTGGGCGACTCATCACATTTCTGCAATACCTCAGCCGTCTTTGACATATTAATCGCCTTTTCCCCTCCGGCTTTCATGCCAGTAATAATGGCTTCCCTATAAGCTTTTAGGTGAGCCATATCAGCACCATTAACATTCCAATTCGGATCTACGTTTGGGTAATGAGCTGCGGCCCATGCTACCGGGTTGGCCTGATTCTGTGCACGGGCCACTTCTTCAAGCGCTTTATTTGCCGCCTGATTAATCCAAGTCCTTTCCTCGTTATTAAACAATGTCATAAGCAATTGCTGGCAATCAGCCCAAGTGGGATTGTGCGGTTGGATTATGGAGGTAATCAAATCTGTCATGGCTTGCGGTTTGTCTGTGCAAGAGGAGTTATGGGTGAACAAATCCGTAGTGGTAAAGGGAACATAAACAAATATGGGGTCCGCATGTTGTAAGTGGCATTCACCATTAATGTGTCGGGCCCGTGTCAATCGGAGAGGCATTTGATAATGTCGGGGTTGGAGGGTACCGGTCAATTGTCGGGTTAGTATGGGGCTTCGTTGAGGAAGGTCAGTTATGGGTTCCGGTCGAGGGGTAGTAAGACGAGGGGAGTTGGACGCTTTTTCTTTACTGAAGGGGAGGTTGGTAAGCAGAATATTCCGGGCCGGGCTGGGAGGAGCCTGACCAGGAACCAGAAATGACGTCAAATCCGGATAGGTGAAGTTAGTGGGGGTAGGTACCGGAAGGGGAGGGTTTAGAACAAGTGGGCTAGGCTCTGAGCTAGAGGATGGGGTAGGAGGAGACAATGGGGCAAGGGGAGTGGCATTACTAGCCGCACCTCCTCTTCCTGTAGAGGAGGAGTAAGGGGGCGTAAAGGAATCTCTGACTCAGGGGGCGTGTCCAGAATGGGCGTGATCACGGCCTTGGTGGACAAACGAGTTCTGGCCAACAGGAGGCGGCATTGCTCCTCTTGGCACACCCTGATCCATTTTGGCAAGTCATCCACGGCCTGTTTCCAACAATCAATATATGGAAACTGGTCGTAAAGTTCCGGCCTACCAGATACAGCTACGTGTACACGCTGCACTAGATTAGGATCAAGACTACCACGTGGAGGCCATGCAACCACTAAGGCAGGCCATTCCCTGCTACATAAAGTAGTCAAACGTGTTGGAGACCTCTTTACCCCAAAATCACATACATTATATCCCTTTTAAAATTCTTTAACATGCAATCTAAGGGATCAACGATCTTTGAATCCAACACACCCATACTTAACAATGGAGCGTCGTCTCCAATAGAAACAAAACAAAATACACTTCCAACAGTCACACCCGTTTCCCTTGGCAACAGCACCACGTGGCACAGTTACTAGGCCAAACGCACACAACAAATCATACAGGGAATTCCCATACACACACAGCTGTTACACCACACACTAAATAACTATTACTGTACCTTTTTTTGGCTAAATTATACAATTACCCACGCTATAATTCTCCGTATTTAAATTACCCGTCTATAACACACCCTAGTAACATCGTCTTTACAAACAGTAGTTATAGTACGGTTAGCATTGGTTAGAATACAATTTTAAAGTCACAGGTCAGTTAATAGTAGTTATGGTGTTAAACATACAACATAAACGACAGTTATTAGTGATTATTTACAGTATCAGTGTTTATAATACATGGTTATGGTACCGTGCGCTATGATACAGTTACACACTATTCACACTCTCGCTAGACGGCAGAGCTCACGCTACCCAGCAAGATATACACTCTACTATAATAAATTTTAACACATTTACAGTTTCTCAACTAATCTATTAGACAGTACCTCGAGGGACTACCTAAAACTATTTACATCCGTTTTGGTTAGCCGTCGCTGCCGAAGCACCACATATAGCGAACTAGAGGGCGGAATTTACAACAATACCCTTTTAGTCTATCTACTCTATCAATAGTCTAGTGGGTTCCAAATTTACATGCCTTCCCACTTAGCCAAGATAGGTTGAGAACTAGCAAACGATAATGTACACCAGAGTCTGCTTAGTCTCCCGGTGCCTCCGACCTAGCGAACAAAATGTACACCCTAGATACGCTAGTCTAGACAAGACACCGGTGTCCGGCTTGGGCTATATACATTCAACCAAGACCCAGCCTGACTCCATACCAAGATTAGACGGGCTGACTACAGGGCGTCTAATTATGAGCGGTGCGCCTTCGCTCCTTCCCTCCCTGGAGGGGGCCAATTCCATACACAATTCCAATTCAAACCCCTTATGGGTCTACCGCACAATCGGTATCCAATACCCCTAGTGGGTACACCGTCTAAAACAGTAGTAGTCTTACCTCCTCGTTCCTGAACCTGAGTTCACACTCATCGACGGGGACACCCCAGTACTTACTATGTAGAGGCCAATGATCTCCTGGACAACAGACCAGTGGCGCCGAGACGAAGGGCGGTCCACGCAGAAGTTCAGGGGTGCAGCCGTAGAGAACGTGGGCAAAGATAGACCGTCTCACGCCTCTGCTTCCTAGCCACCGTTAACGACGAGCTTCCCGGCCAATGCACCAAAGATGTTACCGGGAAACTGACGGAGGCCAAGCACAGAGAGATGGACACAGGTTTCTTCAGGAAGGAAGAGATCTTTATTCGATTCACCGACCGGGACTCAGAGGGACTTATGTCACCAAAAACAGCAAAGATCTGAGCACTGAATACATAGAGTACATTCCTTATATAGCACTGTAGCTCCTCCCATAATTAGCTATGCCCACACATACCCTTAACCTAATCAATGAATAGAGTCTAAACTCATCCATCCGGTCTAACCACGTGGCTCATCTGAAACAAAGGAGAGGGATGCGTAATTCCAGTTCCTGCATTCCTGCACATGCTCAGTACAGTGATGACAGTATCTTAGCTACGTGTAACTAACTGATACTTCAAACACATGTACCTACATATGCCTTGGGGTAATCTTGGCCTGCTAAACTTGTATTTTACTGGAATTCCATCACAGCCCTAGTCACACTGCTCTTTATGGAGTTACACAGCTTTCCTAAACACTTCATGTAAAGAGACATCTGATGTTTACACTTCCTTTCTTGTAAATTCAGTTTAACTTACAATTTCTTATTCCCTGCTCTGTTAATAGGCTTCTAGACCCTGCAGGACCTGTGTTTGTGAGTAGTTACATTTACAGAGCAGGAGATAAAAAAATGTCTAAAGCAAGTTGGCATCTGATTAAAAAAAATTAAACCATGTTTTCCTTGCAGGCTGTGTCGGTCACAGACAGGGAAGGCATGGCAAGGGCTAAGTAAATAGAAACTCTCCCTCCCCCCCCTCTCTCTCTCTCTCTCCCTCCCCCCCCTCTCTCTCTCACAACCCCCCAATGGTCGTGTATGTGATCATAAATTGCATAAACCTTCCACAACGTCAATGTACCCTATTCTTGTGTAGCTCCTGCTCTTATGATATTTTTAATCCACTTGCTTGGGAAATGCTTCCTCCTGGTACTCTGTGCAGTGCAATGTTAACTAGGGCCCTGGAATAATGCACCTGTGACAGGAAGTATATCCATCCAAGAAGGCAGCATTCACCCGAACATTGATATGCTATAAGAGTGCTGCTGGGTTCAATTCATAAAACATTCAAGATTGAGCGCACTCATTCACTAAACAACAATTTTTCTCTTTTCAGGTACACACCTGTGGGACGTTCTTTCTTCTCTGCTCCTGAAGGCTATGATCATCCTCTGGGAGGTGGGAGAGAAGTATGGTTTGGTTTTCATCAATCTGTTCGTCCTGCCATGTGGAAAATGATGCTAAACATTGATGGTGAGTTTTAAGGTTAAGCTCTTAAACTTCTGATCATATATTGTGCAAAGGGTGTCTTTAAATATGTCAAGGTTGTTCCCCCAGGCCCTCTCCATCCTTTATAAAGGAATAGTGGTAACACTACAAATCCCACACAAGGTACTTTTATGTCTGTCTCACACCCCATCATAAACACAACGTGAATAAGTAATTTCCAATTAAATCAAATTCCCTGCATACCTAGGTCTGTAGTCAGTCAAAGCTTCTGTATTTTGTGCAGCCAACTGACACAGTCAACAAGCATCTCTGCCTTTTTCTTTGTATATCAAAGCTCTGGAATAGATCATCACAGTACTTTGTTATAGTTGTCCAAGCTGGAGAACATTAATGTTTTAGTTCAGCTCTCAATGAATTAAAGGAATGCTTTAAAATAATACATATATTATGTGATCAGATGTATTCCTTGCTAGGCTTAGATTAGGGACTGCTCCCCTTTTATTTTTAAAAAAACAAGTCAACTTGCCTTTAATCCAGCGCTAAGACAGTCTTTTCACAGCAATCTGATCTGCCTAAAATGAGATCCTTAATCATATCCTTGGCAGCAGATGCTCCACATAGAAAAAAAAAAAACCAAACATTGAGGACCATAATTGCTTCTGTGGCAATCACTGCGATCTGCCAATCTAATGCTTCTCTGTAACGCACAAACTCCAGTGCATTCAGTGGTCTCTGGTTATATCATACTGTTCTTCAATGGTTTTCTGTTAAAATGTGGGATGGAACCTGGGGAGCTATAAATGATTGGGTTGCATATTTTGCAATAAAGTTACTCACTTAAAAGGGCACTCGAAGCAAAGAATGGGAGCTTGCAGCAGATTCTATAACTTTAATTGTGAGTGCTTTTAAGTTTGCAGTAGTCGGACTGTATTGTAAACGGCTAAATGTTGTGGAAGGATATTTCACTTGGAATGTAGACCCAATATTAAACGTATATAAAAACAGCACAAGTGCAATGTAATTAGGCCTCTGGATCGTCCTCTTGTTATGTTTTCACATGCTCATTCATCCATGCTGGCTAATGTCAGATTCCTGATGCTTGTTATGTGGAAATTTTAGTAATGACCGCAGTTGTTTTTAACATAAAATAACATGTGGAATTATATCATTTGAAAATAGCTAATGGGTGTTGGCACAGAGTGCTTATGTATAGCATGCCGCAATATTTCACAACACAGGTTTTAAAGGATTACTCCTACCCTTTATGACACTAATTTGCTTTTGATTTACAAGGCAAAAATAACACTTGTGTGGTCTTATCATAAGCGTCTGATGCTCATGAATGTGCAGTGTTTCATGCACAAATGCTGCACATTCAGACCTCTTCCACCATGACCACTTCAAATCTCTATTGTGGTTGGAGTAACACTTTAAAAATGGTTAACCGACAAAGGAGAATGTGGTTTAAGAGATGACTGTGTCCCTGCTCAAATGAGTTTACAATGTATAGGGAAGTTTGCTATTTATTTGTCTCCGTTAGATTTACATCAGTCTAAGTTAGGAGCACGTTATCACATGTAGCAGTCAGATTAATTTAAGGAAGACCATTTCTGTGCGAGAAAGTTGGGTAATGGGAGGTGGATGACGTTAAGGGGAAAACAATTGCGCTTTAAGGTATGACAACACTACTTCTTTGATAAACTGATTTATCCCCACCTGAATGGGTGAATATTTATTTTCATTTGGTGTAGGTATAAACACCTGCTTCTGTCTAACAGTACAACAAATATTTCAGAAGTACAGGCATGTTGAAGTATATACAGAGAATACGGTCTGACGACTTGTTTCACATTTGGCCCATCAATTATCTTTTTTTTTCCAGTTTCTGCGACTGCCTTTTATAAAGCACAACCTGTTATCCAGTTTATGTGTGAAGTTCTGGACATCCATAACATCGACGAACAACCACGAGCTCTGACAGATTCTCATCGGGTAAAATTTACAAAAGAAATTAAGGGTAAGTGAAAGATTGTTTCCAGGTGACTTTATGTGCTCAATTACTATTTTCCTGCAAGGGGGAATTGTAACTGTCACATTACAGGATTGTTGATCTTTACTTATGACTATTTTCAACAAAATTATGGATTTGTGGTGTGTGATAAACAAAATGTAAATGAATTTCTATATCATGCCCTTGCAGTCTAACTGCTCATGTCTCTGCCATGTAGGAGTTAAATAACCTTGTTTGTACTGCCCTAGTCACACCTACCCTGCATATGACCTACAGTGTCCATACATATTTCCTGTAAAGAGAGATCTAATGTTTAAGCGGTCTTTATTACACAGTCAGTTTAATATAGAATTTATCTGCTTTTAAATATCATGAAGGAGCCTGCTGTGTGTGATTCAAGGTTTTTTTTACATCTTAAAATAAGCACAGTGCTGTCACATGTATATTATTATTATTATTATTTTTTTTTTTTTCTTGTTGGCAATTTGAGTCACAGCCAGGGCAGGTGTGGCTAGTGCTGCTTAAACAGACACAAAAGTAACTGAATTCCTAAATGGCGGAAAACTAAGAAATGAAACTACGGGGACCTGATCTATACTCTAAAATTGATTCATTAAACTTAAGTTATTTTGGTGCTTAGTTTCCCATTAATGTTAAAGGGATTCTATAGTCATCAAATCAACTTTAGCTTAATAAAGCAGTTCTGGTATATAGATGATGCCCCTGCTGTCTCACTGCTCCATTCTCTGCCATTTAGGAGTTAAGTCACTCTGTTTATGCAGCACTTCCATGCATGTGACTTACACAGGCTTCCTAAACACCGTAAAATGCATTTATTGCAAGTTATGTTTAATTTCGAATTTCTTATCTCCTGCTCTATTAATAGCTTGCTAGGCCCTGCATGAGCCTCCAGTGTGTGTTTAAAGTTCAATTTGTAGAGCAGGAGATAAAAACTTAAGTAAGTTAACATTTGATTGTTTTCATGCAGTTTGTGTCTGTCGCAGTCAGGGGAGGAGGTGTGGCTAAGACTGCATAAACAGAAACAAGAGTGATTTAACTCCTAATTGGTAGAGAATTGAGCAGTGCAACTTTAGAGGCATGATCTATACAAAAAAAAATTGCTTGATTAGGCTACGGTTGTTTTGGTGATTAGTGTACCTTTAAGTGTGTGTGCCTGTAATACATGCTAAATGTTTATATACTGTTATTTTGGTGAATGAAAAATTGAGTTACACATTTAACCCCTTAAGGACACATGACATGTGTAACATGTCATGATTCCCTTTTATTACAGAAGTTTGGCCCTTAAGGGGTTAAGCAGTCTTCTGATAAACACTTATTGAATATTTTAGCTCTTTCTATTCACTTTACTTAAAGGAACACTAAAAAAAATTAACTACTCAAGTAACCCTCCTCCACCTGTATGTAGTAGCCTTTTGCTATTGACTCATTGGCTGAGAACAATCAACTGATACCACCAGCCTATAAGCTGGCCCAAGAGGGTTACCGAAGGGTCTATGCAAGCTTCTGGCTCTCAAAAAAAAAAAGTGACTGGCAGGCTCTAGGTTAGAATTTAAACTGTTGGCAAACAATTTGACTATTTTAATTGTGGCTCCAGGGTGCTTCTGGCACCATAACCACAATGGTGCACTGTAGTTATTGTGGTGTTTGGAGTGTTCCTTAAGTAAAACGCACAGGTTTTCATAATCCCAGACTGGCAAAACATGGAGAGCAGAAGAGAGAGACATGCATACACCACACCCCATTAGAAATGGAACAGCCCAGTACAACTTTAGATACCTACCAGTCTTTTAATTTTTGCTTTTCTCTCCTTTTTGCTAGCAGTGACCTCTCTCCCCCATCTTCTTCTTTTAAAGCTCACTTCTGCCATCCCAATCAGTTTGTGACCCTTGGTTTGTCATTTATTCTGGACCTAATTTCTCTACCTAAGTTTGACTACTACTTTCATGTCTTGCATCCCTAGTTTTAGAATTTCTCAAACCATTTAATCCACCCTGGTTTGTGTCCCCTGTCTTGCATGCTGCCTATTGTATTCCTTTTTAGTTTGCACAGGCAAATCTGTTCTGGAAGCATACTGAAGAATTCAATACGCATTGACATCAGTTTGTCTGGTGCAGTGATGTCAGTGCGCAGGCCACCTATGTTTGTACAGTGGGCTTTTTATAGGCAACTATAGTTAAGAATGGATATATTGCAGAGCTTGACTAACAAGGGCCTATCCTGGGTCTCTGTTTCCAATACTGGCTGCATTACTTTTGTGCCTCAGAACTGAGGTGGTCGGTGGTAGTTTTGCAGTCTGTGAGATGACAACCTTTTGCTTTGCCACAACAAATATGCTTTCATTGACCAAAGTAACAGGGGACACTTTTTATGGTATGTTATTCAATGTAGTTTCTTTTCTTCACTTTATTTTAGATACGCTTTTTTCTCTCTTTTTAAATAAAATTTGAACTATATAATCTTTAGTACTTACTTTGTGAACCAATTTAACTATACTGCCTCTACTCTTGATGAACATTCACAATGTCTGCTTACTTTGTGTATGAGCAGTAGGTTTACATTCTCTGTAATTCGGTAATGCAGCTGGATTGAGTGCTTTTTATTTTCTGTCGGTGTGATCTTTTGTATGCTTGGCACAGGTCTGAAGGTCGAAGTTACTCATTGTGGAACAATGAGAAGAAAATACCGTGTCTGCAATGTGACCAGGAGAGCCACCAGCCATCAAACGTAAGGCCCATCCTATTTTGTTCCCTGCTTATTATAATAATAAAGATACCAGTATCTGATATGTCAAAACATAAATAGTAGATATTTTGATTTTTAGATGATTAGATACTTTAAAGGGACACTCTAGACACTATAGGCATTTATTGAAGTGGTCTGGGTGCAGTGTCTCTGTCCCCTTTACCCTGCAACGTAAAGCATTGCAGTTTCAGACAAAGGTGATTTTAACAATGTATTCACCGGTGGGGGAACACTGAGGAAGGAGGACACAAGTGATAGGAACATTTGCGAAAAATTTTTAAAATGGAAAGCCAATAAACATACTGTAGCATTGTGATAAATGTTGAAATTTGCCCCCCTTCCTCTACTTTCCCTTTGCGACAGATTTTACAATGATGCCAACGGTTATAGATTCATGAAGAGACATATCTGTACAAATGCACACTCAGGAGCTGGCATCTACAGTGCAGGCAAACATTTGTGTATTTAATCTGTACAGCTGCTTGCATACCTATTGTTTTCTTGTGAAAGTAGTACCGTCCAGGGTTGTGTAGCATGTGGTCATTTGGTTAGATGTTCCAAAAAGCTTCCCATATTTAGATCCAGTTACTCCCGTTGTATTTGAAATGAGTTCTTTCTCCACAGCTTCCCTTTACAGTTGGAGAATGGACAGACGGCAGAAAGGACAGTTGTTCAGTACTTTAAGGAAAAGTATGGCCTACAGCTAAAGTACCCTCATCTGCCCTGTTTACAAGTTGGACAGGAGCAGAAACACACATACCTGCCTCTAGAAGTAAGTAATACAATATTGACTTAAAGCTTAGTGGTTGAGTAATGTATGAGCTACATCCAGGCACTGTGCCATTCAGAGACCGGATCACATAGCATTTTACCACATTATTACTGTTCAGCATTGAGTGTAATTTGTATTTTGAAAAGTGGTTTAAAATCATATTCATGATGGTGAAAATATGCATCATCTTAAATCCTCTCCGTAAGGACTACACAATATTCTTCAACCTGGAAATCAACCATATCGCCCTAGTAAGCTAATTTAATCACTTCTTCGTTACACACAACACTATTTAAAAAAATATATTACACACAAAAATATGCCTGCAATATTTAATTAACACACAACTCAGAATGTAACCCAAAATAAATATAAGTGGAGCAGTATTATTTAGTGGATATTCCCCACACCAAAAAATAAAGGTATGTTATCCTTGTATGTCTATAAGCGGCATCTTCAATCACTCAGCCAACTCAGTGATACATATATTGAAAAAAATTTGATAATTTCAATGGTAGTAAAATGCCCACACTGAATGAAATCTTGAATAGAATTTTACGGATACATATATTCAAACCCATATCTGCAAACATTTCAGTTATTTATCGGCCCCCTGGTTCTCCTCATCTCTTCCTTGACCATATTGCTGCCTGGCTTCCTTACTTTCAAGGGTTATCACATCCCTAAGTCTCAGTGATTTCAACATTCCCATTAACCCACCCTTGTCCTCAGCCTCAAAACTTATTTGAATCACCTCCTCCTTTGGGCTATCACAGTGGGCTATTAGAAACATAGAAACATAGAATGTGACGGCAGATAAGAACCATTCGGCCCATCTAGTCTGCCCAATTTTCTAAAAACTTTCATTAGTCCCTAGCCTTATCTTATAGTTAGGATAGCCTTATGCCTATCCCATGCATGCTTAAACTCCTTTACTGTGTTAACCTCTACCACTTCAGCTGGAAGGCTATTCCATACATCCACTACCCTCTCAGTAAAGTAATACTTCCTGATACTATTTTTAAACCTTTGTCCCTCTAATTTAAGACTATGTCCTCTTGTTGTGGTAGTTTTTCTTCTTTTAAATATAGTCTCCTCCTTTACTGTGTTGATTCCCTTTATATATTTAAATGTTTCTATCATATCCCCCCTGTCTCGTCTTTCCTCCCACACATGTAGCTGGCAATACCCTAGATCTTATTATTTCAAATGCATGCTCAGTCTTTAATCTCTGTAATACTCCATTTTCTCAATCAGTCGACCACCCCCTATCATTTGTTCTTGAGTGCCCCCACACCCAATATCCTAAACCTAACTCCACTCATCTCAGGAGGAATTTTAATTCTCTTGACCTCCAGCAGCTCTCGACTGATATCCATTCTGAACTCTCATCCATCCCTACCCTCTCCTGTCTCTCTCTGGCGATCTCCTCATACCCTCACCCCCGCCCTAGACGCTGCAGCCCCACTCCAAGCACGCACTTCAAGGAGGACGCGCCTCCAGCCATGGCACAATAAGTCAACCCGCTACCTGCAGAGATGCTCCCGTTCAGCTGAACGCTGCTGGAGGAAGTCTCCTTGTCAGACTTTCAACACTATAAGTTAATCTTGCATTCATGCAGCGCAGCCCTCACCCTTGCTAAACAGTCCTTCTTTTCTTCTCTCAGTTCATGCTCCCGTAATCCTAGGCTTCGCCCTGCTGTGGCCACCCCACAAACGAATCTTTCAGCCGATAGCTTTGCATGTTACTTTACTGACAAGATTAAACAGTTAAGGAATTAATTCTTTCCCCCCTTCTCCCCTCTCTATCTTAACCTCAGTTTGACTATACCATCCCTACCCTCCATGCCTTCTCTCCATTTACTGAACATGAGGTGGCTGCACTTCTGCTTTCCTCTCGTCCCACCACGTGTCCGCTCCATCCCATCCCGTCCCACCTCATCATATCTCTCGCCCCTTGTCTGGTGCAGTCATTAATGCACATCTTCAACTGCTCTTTCTTTTGGTGTTGTCCCAGCTCCCCTTAAACATGCTACTATTGTACCTGTCCTCAAAAAGCCATCTCTTGACCCTACTTCCCATATCCCTGCTCCCTTTCTCCTAAAAGCTTTTGGAAAGACTTGCCTTTACCTGTGTCTTGCTTTCTCAACTCCAACTCTCTTCTTGACCTTCTTCAGTCTGGATTCTGCCCCCTCCACTCCACAGAGATTGCTCTGACTAGAGTTACAAATTATCTAATTGCAGCTAAATCCAAAGGCCACTACTCCATACTAATTCTTCTTGATCTCTCAGCTGCCTTTGACACGGTTGATCATGGCCTCCTTCTCCTAACTCTTCAATCTCTTGGTTTCTGTAACACAGCCCTCTCATGGTTCTCTTACTATCTCTCCCAACACTCCTTCAGTGTCTTTTTCCAACACCTCTCCTCGTCCTGTCTCAGTCGCTGACGACACCCAGATATACCTCTCATCCCCTGACCTCTTCCCTGCTGTCATACATGTCACCAACTGCCTTTCTTCTATCTATGACTGGATGTCCTCACGCTTTCTAAAAACTCACTCTCTAAAACTGAGCTCCTTATCCCCCCCACCCTCATAATGCTGATCCTCCTCCTTCGCTTTCCCTGAAAGTTGATGGTACTTGCATCAGTCCATCCTTGCAAGCTCGTTGTCTTGGTGTTCTCTTTGAACCTGGCCTCACCTTTGCGCCTCATCCAGAATGTTGCTAAAATCTGTTGATTCCAGCTTAAAAACCTTGTCCGCATACACCCTTTCTTATGCAAGAAGCTTGTTCATGCTCTAGTAATTGGTCTCCCCAGAAGCCGTACTGCCCCCCTTCAATCTGCCATAAATGCTGCTGCCATGCTGATCTTTATCTCATGTAGCTCCTTACACTGGCTTCCTGTAAAATACTAATCCTTACCTATAAAGCTCTAGCCCCCCTTATATTTCCTCACTGATTCATAGGTATGCCCCCTCTCTGTCTCTCTGCTCTACTGGTGACCTTCTCCTGTCTGCTGCTTGCACCCTTACTGCAAATTCATGCCTGCAAGTTTTTTCATGGGTTCCTTTTGAACAACCTGCCTACCGATGTCAGACTCTCCCCTAGTCTTCGATCCTTTAAGAAGTCCCTCAAAGCCCATCATGCTTATGGCCTCCAGGAGTAACTTCTATCTCTTGCTCTCTTCTAAAGGGCCACACTTCACTCTCATCTCCAGTTCTTCTTTCCTACCACGTCTATTTGCTGTCTCCCTCAATACCCTTTCTTTAGTGGTTTTATACCCCACCTCCTCTAGACTGTAAGCTCGTTTGACCAGGGTTCTCAACTACCTATTGCTCCTGTTACATTTTGTTATTGTCTCATTTGGTAAATCCCCCTCTTATTGTAAAGCGCTGCGGAATAAGCTGGCGCGATCTAAATATCAATAATAATAAAAAAAGATAGATGTTAATATATTCAATCAAATAAACCCCTTTATAACATAAAACCAATATATTAAGCACACAAAAAACACTTCTGCTTAAAGGAAAGCGTGGTGAGCAAACATTAAATTCCACACTATTCACAAACTGGCTTAATCACTCAGAACCTATTCGGTCCTGTGCTCAGGAATACACCGGTCCGCTCAGCTGTCCTTACAGCACTAGATGCGGCTTACTCCTGATGATTTTGCCGGTTCCTTCTGTGTTACACCGCCTTGCGTCTCTCCATTTTGCCGGTTACTTCTGGCTTCCTCAGGACATAAAGGCCCTTCTCCAAGAAGGAGAAAGCAACATTAAGGGCGCAAATGGTAATGATGCGATTGCCTTCATTGGTGCGTTTGCCAATCCTTCAGTTACATATTGCCATATGACTGCAGGTTTTTTTTTTAGTCCATGTTCACAAATAATACAACAGTGGTGAATCACCACAAGTTAGCAGGGTGAATTAGTCATAATTCGTTCGTACTTGAGAACAGAAATATATAGTTTAATTGCACATACACATATATTGCACATCATTGTTTAACTTGATAAAAGAAAGTCTCCGTTTATGTTTTATACAGTAACAAAAACGTACCCAGCTCAATAAAAATACCATTATAAATATCCATACATAATCTGTTTTAAAAATATTTAAAACATATTTACTTTGTAATTTACTAATAAAAGATCAGCAATTGCTTAAATGAAGATAGCATAATTTAATTTAAATATAGATGGAAATAAAATATTTTAATTTAAAAATCATTAGTCCGTTTGGGACCAAAGTATTCAATTCAAATATCCATTTCATTTCTGCCTGTCCCAGCTTTTGATTAAAATCACCTCCTCCCCATTACCTTTTAATCCTTAGAATACCTATAAAATCCACATTATAGTTATCCCTAAAGTGCAGTGATACTTGATTCTGTGCGCATTAACCTAGTGGTACGACATATATAGTTTAGCCCACATGGACACGTAAGCATGTATGCAACATTTCGAGAATTAAGTTATTCCATCTCTAATAGTATAAATATTAGCAGTAAATTCTCTAAAGCCTTTTTTTTCCCCTTTGTATTTTGCGGTATAACTACCACATTAAAAAAAAAAAGAAAATGAACCCAAAAAGTTTTTTTTTTTTTTTTTTTTTTTTTTTTATATTGTCCATAGGTTTCTCTAAAATATTATCTGTTAAATATTTTAATTTGGCTACCCCCTGTATTATCCTTGGTTTCCTTTAAGATCGGGTCACTTAGTAATAAATGCCAGTAATTATTATATTTCTTACTTTGTTGTTGTGACCTTCGGAGAATTGACAAGTAAAAGGAATTCCATTGCTACACTTCTATTTTATTTTTATAATCTAGTAACTTTGTTTGATCCATTGTTTGTATGTCTTTGGTAGCTGTAATTAAAATATTTTCACTCTAACCTCTATCTTTAAAATACAAAATCACTCTCCTACGTTTGTGTGCATACATTGATAAGCCGCCAAATTAAAACCACCTGCCCAAGAGCATGTAGGTCCCCCTTGTGCTGCCAAAACAGCCCTGATGCATAACGGCATGGTTCCACAAGACCTCTGAAATTGTCCTGTGCTATCTGGCACCAAGACATAAATAAAATTGTAACTTCTAAATGAAAGTACTGAGACATCAAGAGCACACCAAATCAAACTCATTAAGCTTAACTTGCTCTGGTTCTTACGATGTCATTTTTACCTATGTTGATCAAAACTGTTGGTTGTCCCTTAGTAAACAGAAATGGAGCCGAAGAAAGTTTAACAAACATACCAGGTACCTGTGATTTCAATGAAATTCACACTTGGTTTTTGATTACTTTATGTATATGATGGTTGGAATGGCTTTCTAACACTGCCATTGCAGGTGGACATAAAACCCACAAACAACTTTTAGTCTCACTGTGTTTCTGACTATATAAATGAAGAAAAAAATAAGCTTTTAGTTAATGACTCTTTTAAAAGGCCTAATAATTTTATCATCTTGTATTGGTGTCTGCTGTTTGTTATACTGCACTGCTATTCTGTAAATTTATAATATTCTGTATAGTTTCCTTTTTTCTCTCTATGATTTAAGTTATGCCTTTAGATTATTATTTTTCACTTTCAATTTCTATATTTTCAGGTCTGTAACATTGTGGCTGGCCAGCGATGCATCAAGAAGCTGACTGACAATCAGACATCCACCATGATCAAGGCTACAGCCAGGTCTGCTCCAGACAGGCAGGAGGAGATCAGCCGGCTGGTGAGTGTTGCGTCTCAGTACCTTTTTATTTTAAATAATAGTTTATAAATTACCGGTACTTTATTCTTTTAGGCTACAATCAAATATAAATGCTTTGAGGTAGGATTTGATTTTAAATAGTGGTTTTAAATCACAAGTCAATGAGATTCAATTTAAACGATCTTCAAATCTTGGTTGTTATAATCTTTAGTATTTTCAATCAGCTAAAAAAAAAATCATGCTTGGCATAAGAACCTTTTGGATTATATATCAGAACTGATTTTGTTCTAAACCATTATAAATACATAGATGCTGTTATTATTGCAAGGAGAACCATGTCCTTTTATATTTAGTGAACGACTTAAATTGTTTTATTTAGCTAAAACAATAGTTGTATTTCCTTTAACTTTAGTGTTCACTAAAGATATTACACAATATGTTGGGGGGGGGAATCTTGAGCTTAAATGGTTTGTCCTCTTATCTTGGTCCTAATTGGGAGCCAAGCCTTCTCTGGTTCTTGGTGATATGAATCTGGCTTCTGAATAGCTGCAGAAAACTGCCAATCTCACTCTCGGTGAATAACTTTTTATGCAAAGAATATGCATATTATGTGACCTTAGAAAGACTGGATCTCTGCCTCATATTGAAACACTGCACACAGACTCCAAGCACCATGGCCTCTTATCACTGAAGCCATTTGAGAGGGAAACAAATTCAGTGGCTGTTTAATATAAAGTTACTCCCTAATAGGAACTACTTTGAGCTGCTCCTTCACTGTCTCTGCTAATTCTCTTTTCAGGTTCGAAGTGCAAATTATGATGCTGATCCTTTTGTACAAGAGTTTCAGTTTCGAGTCCGAGATGAGATGGCCCACGTGACGGGGAGAGTACTTCCTGCCCCCATGTTACAGTATGGAGGAAGAGTATGTGAAATTTTGGTATTTTACCTTTTCTGCTACTAAAGAGATGCATCTTATTGTAATAACCATGATATTTTTGTTTTAAGAGTAACAAATGCAATGTAAATTAAATCTGTGTGGGAACCTTTATACGCAAATGTACCAAGAAGCTTCATTAAAATTAGTTTCTGCCAGCGTAGTGCATTTATCATGATATTGTCTATGAAATAAGGGCGTGCTGTGAACATGGGACCTATTAAAAAGGTTAGGGTTTATGCATATTGAAATGGTTGAGACTGGAATTGTTTGGCGTTTTTCTGAAACATTATACAATACCCTGGGGTTATGGAATTTTTATTCACCATGATTTTAGTGGGTCTTTACTATGGGGCTGGACATGGGGGAGAATTTGCTTTGATGCTAAGAGTTGGAGGTTTTGATTGGGTTAGTTGGCAAATGGCTAACTGCTAACCAAGGCAGTTTTTAGCTATATATATGAACTTCTCCTATCTAACTCCTCTCTGTTTAGTAGATTGGTAAACTGTGTTTCTATACATGCACAGTCGAGGTTTCAATTTTCATGGGGATTGTTACCTACAGATGTATACTTCTGGTGACCGTTGTGTGGAAATAGTTCTATTTGCCCAATGGGATGCACAGTACACTAGAGGGATACAATATTCCACTTTGTGATTTAGCTGTACATCTCCCATCTGGTCTCCAGGGATACCTTTGCTGCCCTTGATTTCTTTCTACCATCTATTGGCTTCTCATTACACACTATGCTTACTTATTTTCATTTAGTTAGTCTTGCCTATGCTAGTGTACACTCTAATGTGCATATATGACCTACATACATATTGCTTCAAGAAAGCTAGCCTTCTTTATACCCACCCATCCCTCAACTATACAGATAGTTAAATTGATCTAACCTTTGGAACTCTGGAAAGTATATTGTAGTCAATATCTGAAGTGGTGCTATGTGGCAACTCATTTAATAAAGCCATTTCTTGACACCGTATAAATTTTCTTCCTCTCTTTATCTTTAATATACCCATCTCTATACTTTCAAAGAGGAATTTTAGTAATACTTGGTACTTTGTAAATAATTTTGAGTTCATCTTGATTTTGTGTTACGTTACTCCTCATTCATTAAGAATTAGTGTTTTAGTTGCTGGATACTCTCTTATTGCTGTTTCAACATGATTTAATGTTTAGCTTATCTGTATATTAATTATTGCCAAACCCAAATCAGAGGGGGGGAATGGTCACGGAGGAACACTGTTATGTTTTTTTTTTTTCTTCAGCTTAAATCCAAAATAGAATTCTCATTTTGAAAAATTACATTTACTTTACTAGAGAATATGGCATGTTTATCTAATTTCATCATTGTTTTAAGGGTTGGTAAATCTAATTTGTTGCTAGCAGACAGTCATGTTTGATTAATTATAATGTTGTATTATTAGTTTGAGGTGTAGTGGCATTGCATGTGTTCTCTTGTGATTTGTAAGGCTTAAATTTCCTGTCACACATTGGCAGTAGTACAGTGGGTTCTGTGTTTCTTAGTGGGACAAGCAAATTGCAAAAAAACCCAAAAATTTTAATGATCCCTCCTCCTTGACTTATAAATGCGGGCTCCCTCAGTATTTTCTTGTCCCAGCACTGGGACGGTCGAGTGGACTGCAAGAAGGCAGGTGATGCGCACAAGCTGATGTCTTGGGGGATACAGTCTTAATAGCTCTCCGGGTGGTGAGCTAAAAGACACTGCTCTGTTTGAGGTTACGGAAGTAACAACTTGAGCCGCATTTATGCTGTGGAGCTTCCCGGCGACTGGGGCGTTGATGGGCCATTTACCTATTGCGAGGCAGGCTTTGCGCTTGCCCACAGGGTTAGACTGCATGCCTGGGAGGACGTGCGTTTCACAGAGGTTTTGAATGTGCTACTGTGTATGAGCAGTTTGGAATCTCTGTTTTCAGTGTAAAATTTAAAGACCTATTTAAGCTGTGCGAGCCCTTATGTCCGCAGGGTACGTTTCAATTTTGGTCATACTGTGTCACCAGCCCCCCCACCCGGTCTTGGAGATCTTTGAGGTGAGATTAATTGTATCTCTACAGAGATTTCATGCAGAAGAGTGTTCCAAGCAGAAGGTTTCCAAGGAATAGCCACCATGGTTGGAGCTCTAGTGGCTAAAGCTCAAAACCTTTGACTTTAATCTTTGGAAAATGGTCTACTGCATGGTTCTAGTAAAGAGTTGCCTTACATTTTACATAATATCAGATTGGCCAATTGTCACGCCACCCTCCGGGTCCGCTCCTGCCAGAGAGCGGTATGGGTCCTGGCGAGTGCGCATCGTTGCGGCGGCATTCCCACAAGTCAAGGGGAATGCCGCTGGATCCTTACCTGTCCTGCAGACGCCCGCCGGGGCCGCTCATGCCCGGGAGTGGACTGGGACACGGCGGGCACATCTGTCTCCATTACCATGTGGGAATGCCGCCAATCACTCACCTGAGCTCATCCACCCCACACAGCGGCCGGGTCTGCAATCATTAGAGACGCTGGCCGCTGCAGATTAGATGCTTTTAAGGGTTTGTAATTAACCCTTAGTGTTCCATTCCATTTTGAACGTGTGGGTGTGTCACACACCCACGTCCACGATCACATGCTTTCCTGCAGCCAATCAGGGAGCAATTTAGGCTATATATACTTTTTTTTTTTTTGTCCATCTCTCTGTGCCCTGTCGTGGTTTCCATTGTGGTTATCCAAGAGCACGTTTCTAGTATTGATTCTAGTGTATTTTACTGTGGCTTTCCTTCTGACTATTCGACTATCTTTGGCTTGGCTCCTTACTATTCTGACTTCTATATTCTGTGCCCTTGTTCATTGTTTCCATGGTTTCTGCGTTCTTGTCCATATCCTGTCTTGTGTTTTTTTTCTTTTATACGTTTAATTTGGCCATTCTAAGGCCCGGAAACCCGTCTTCAGGTTTTCTTTAATTTTTACTTAAGTTCTGCGTGTTGGGCATTAGCTATTCCTGACACCAATTAATTTTTTTTTTTAGACATGTCTGTTGACATCTCAAAAGCTTTCAGCTCGTATTGTTGGTCTATCCTCTGTAGCAAGAAGAGTTCTGTGGCTGAGGTCATGGACGATGGACACTGCATCCAGAGCTGCTTTGTGTGAATTACCACTGGAAAGTAATGGGTTATTTGGGTCTCCATTGGAAGAAGTAATAACAGATGCCAGACACCAAAAAAGCTCTACCACAGGATAGTAGATACTCTTCTGGAAGTAGAAGAGGTCATTCAGATATCAGGATGGATTATTTAATACTTGCAAGCAACTTTGGGACAACAGGTTTAATGAAAATAATTCCAATAAACAAGACTAAAGGAAGAGATTCTGACACTGTAAAAATAGGAGGGAGACTCCCACGGCTTAACCAAGAATTGGAGAAAACTACTATAAATCCCTGGATCCAGAACCAGAACAAGATAAAGTTCACAGTAAAGCCAAAACAGAATCTCTCCTGACAGAGGCCATGTGATTTTAAAAAAAATAAATAAAAATGGGATCGAGAAAGTACAAAGAAAAGTAGAAGGCTAAAGAGTTTACTCAAGATTTTTGGTTCCTCAGCAAGAGCATTTGGTTCGTCCTGTGTTAGTATGGTTTCCATACAAAAATTTTCAGACAAAATGAACTTGTTAATGTTTTTTTTTTTTTTTTTAGACCAAACTGTGACTCATTCTCCTGAAAAGATACTTCATGATGACTTTAGACTTGAAAGACACATACTTCCATGTTCCTATGCCAATAGACACAAGAAGGTTTTTAAGATTTGCAATTTCCTCTGTAAAAAGTGTAGGATTTTCTTTTCAAAGCACTCCCTTTAAGGCTGGCTTCTGCCCTGAGGAGATTTATAAAGCATCTGGCTTCCTTAACAGCATCATTGAGAGAAAAAGACCTTGCCATAGTACCCTATTTAGACGGTTGGTTTCTCAAAGCAAAATCACATCATCTACAGGAGAATATTCAAATTACACGCTCTACTAAGGGATCATGGTTGGATTATCAACCAAGAAAAACATTTCAGCTTCAACCGTCATCAGTTATTCAGTTCCTGGGTTTTATCGTAGATTCAAGCACCTTAACTCATAATCTACCCCCTCTGAAGAGAAGGAAAATCCAAAAAGAAGTCTTGTTTCTTCAAAAGGAACTAACTTGCTCAATAAGGAAAGCTATGAGCTTTCTTTGCATTCTGACTCCATTAATCCCAGCTGTCAAGTGGGTAAAAGCAGCCACAAGATGCCTTCAATTGGAGATCCTTGAGCATTGGTCCAGAAGGAAAGAAGATTTAGACTTAATGTTCAGCCTTTCCACGCAAGCTCGAAAGCAGTTAACATGGTGGAAAAAAATCAAGATTCCTTTCTCTAAGTACCCTTTCCATCAGAGGGAAAGGATTGTCATTACAACGGACGCCTCAAATTTCGGATGGGAGGCTCACATTTATTCTCACTTCTGCCAAGGGGTTTGGTCACCGGAAGAAGCACGCCAGTCATCAAATTACAAAGAACTAAAAGCACTGTTCTACGCTGTTTGGGAGTGCGGGCCTTGGATTACAAGAAAGGTCATAAAGATGCAATTGGACCACATCACAGGGGTATCCTATTTGAATAAACAAGGGGCACCTGTTATGTGCAACCATTATGGATTAGGCACCAGAAGAGTTAGTCTTTCGGCACTTATATAAAAGGGTCCGAGAATATTATTGCGGACGACCTCAGCAGGGCTCATTGGTCACAAACTGAGTGGGCTTTTTAAGTCTCATAGGAAGTTTTTGTACACCAGAAGTGGATCTCATGGTAAGACAATAGAAGTGTCAGTCTTCGCTTCCCAGTTGCGACAAGACGACCCTCAATTCCTGGCTGGGATTATTAATTCCATGAGTCCTTCAGAAAATCAGAGCAGACAAGGCAAGATTAATAGCGATCATTCCTTATTGGTCAAACAGGGCTTGGTTCTCAAATGAATGGCCTTGACCTACATGGAGCTGAAAGTGTTAACACAACTTCTGGAAAAAAATGTAATCCCTATAGAGGCATTCCAGATGTTTTGGTTAATGGATTGGCTGCTGCAAGGATAATTCTACATGAACATGGAGTTCATGAAAATGTGTGTGTGTGTGTGTGACCTACTGCTAAACTACACAAGAAAGTCTACATAAAGGATATACTTGAGAATTTGGAATATGTACATTACTTTGGTTGAATGGGTTAGGCAGTGGCTGAGTGACAGGCAAGAGGGTTGTAGTCAATAGAGTATATTCGAAGCAAGTTCTAGTTACTATTGTGGTACCTCAGGGATCTGTACTTTGACCCATCCTCTTTAATATTTTTATTAGTGGTGTTGCAGAAGGTCTTCTTAGTAAGATATGTCTTTATGCTGATGATACAAAGATTTGCAGCAGGTTGATGTTCCAGCCAAATGGCAAATTATTTAGGTAAACTAGAAAAATGATCAGAGCTCTGGCAACTGACATTTAATGTGGATAAGTGCAAGATAATGTATCTTGAGTGTAGAAATGGAAGGACCGCATATAGAATATTTGATACAATACTAACCTCTACATCTGAGGAAAGGGATTTAGGAGTAATTATTTCAGATGACTTAAAGGTAGACAATGAAATATAGCAGCAGGAAATGCTAGCAGAATGCTTGGTTGTATAGTTGAGGTATTAGCAGTAGAAAGAGGTAAGTGCTCATGTCATTGTACAGAACACTGGTGAGACCTCACTTGGGGTACTGTACACAATACTGGAGACTGTATCTCCAGAAATATATTACTACTTTGTAGAAAATTCAGAGAGAGGCTTCAAAACTGATTCATGGATTGCTGGGTAAAACTTGAGTCTGCCTACTGTTAACCTTGTTTCTGTGTTTTCTGCATCTTCCAATCAGGGGGGAAAAAATAGCATCTTCTAGATGAAAGAAGTGCTTAACAAATTTACATATACTGTCTTTTTGAGGATTTCATGATTTTAGATCATCTGTTAATTTTCAAGGAATAAATAAAGTCTCAAAGCCTTATATTGCTTGATAGATTACCATTTACTATTAAATTGGCATAGGTAAGGTGTTGGCTAACTTTACCATTTCCAGTAAAACTCCATTCCACCAGGGCAATTGCTACTTCCTGGACGGTCAGATCCAATGCTTCACCAAAGGATATCTGCAAAGCTGCAACCTGATTGTCATTCAGCACATTCATGAAACACTGCAGGCTAGACATAATCTCCACCGCAGAGGATGCTTTCAGGCCTAAGCTGCTCCAGGCTGTCGTTTTAGAAGACCAACCCTTTTGTCGACATTGTTTTGGGATTGTCTTGCTATATTCCAACTGTACCCTTGCCACTATATAACAGGAAAAACTGAAATTTTACTTATCATAATTTCTTTTTTCCTTAATATAGTGGCAGTACAATGTCCCTCCCTTCATTTTGATAATAAATTTATGTTTGCATTTATGCTGGTCTCTGTATATGTTTTGCATTTACGCTGGTTTCTTGATATTTACTGAGGGAGTAAGGAAGAATTCCGCATTTATAAGGCAAGGAGGAGGGATTATTTACATTTATTTTATTTTTATTTTGCAGTCTGCTTGTCTCTCTAAGAAACACAGATCCCACTGTACTACCGGTATGTTAAGGAAAAATGAATTTATGGTAAGTAAAATGTCTGGTTTTTGAGAGCAGCTAGCATTATTTTTTTCTGTTTTCTGTTGATAGCGATTTTGTATTGGCACTAGTTTAACAATTCCATTCATTTTTCTGTCATGTGAATATCTCCTTCCTTCCTTGAAGAATCGTACTGTAGCAACTCCGAGCCATGGGGTTTGGGACATGCGGGGAAAACAGTTCCACACTGGTGTGGAAATAAAGATGTGGGCCATTGCATGTTTTGCCACACAGAGGCAATGCCGAGAGGAAATTTTGAAGTAAGAAATTTTATTTATTCTATTTTTTTAAGTTTTGTGAATTGTTCCTTTTCTTTTAATTAAATTCATAGGTTGATTCAACAAAGTAAAGAACAAATGTCTAGATTTAAAAGTTTTATTTGTTATTTACCACTGAACATATTCTGGATTAGGAAAAAGGAAATGTAAACATTAAATGACCCTTTACAGATATTGTTTAGGAAGGCTGTGTAAGTCACATGCAGGGAGATGTTACTAGGGCTGCATAAACAAAGTGATTTAACTCCCAAACTGCAGAGAATTGAGCAGTGAGACTGCAGGGGCATGATCTATACACCCAAACTGCTTTGTTAAACTTAAGCTGTTTTGTTGCCCTTAGGATCCGTTTAAGCTAGCGCACCTCTTTTGTACAGTAGCAAAACCTCTTTCAAATGATGTATTGATAAACGTTAGTGCTTTATAGGGATTTAAACTTGTGATCTTAACATACTAAACAAACATAGTGTTTGGATGACAGGGAAAGATTCAAGTATCCCTTCAGAATGAAAGTGAGACACAGTTTATGCATAGTGAACAAACATGAGCATGTGACTCAGAACAATTCCATACTCTTAAGTGCCAGTTAGTGTAAGTTTACTGTTCCAATCTTAGCAGTGCTAGCCTTGGTAAAATAACACAGATTTATTAGCCTTTAATTTACCCTACACATGCTAGAATTGTCAATTTCAATGATGATCACTTTGATTACAAATGTTTTCTATAAGGTAAATATATATGATTGTTTAAAAACAAAACTTTATGCACTATAGATTGCGTTTTGTTTTAAAACAAGAGCTGTTATTAAATGTTAAACCTGTGCAGTTATGGTAAATGTTAAAATCCTCTCATCCGTTAAGTGACCTGTGTTCTGTAAGGGTTGTGAAATAAATGCAATGTCTAACTTGTTGCCTGTCTTCTTTGGACAGTGTGGAATTGTTTACATGTGGTAGATGTAAATGCTAAGTTGTCTCCCCACCCTGCTTCCTTTTCATTAAATAGGGCATTCACAGACCAGCTTCGTAAGATTTCCAAGGATGCAGGGATGCCCATCCAAGGCCAGCCGTGCTTCTGTAAATATGCTCAGGGGGCTGATAGTGTGGAACCCATGTTCAGACACCTCAAAAATACTTATTCTGGGCTCCAGCTCATTATTGTCATCCTGCCAGGAAAAACCCCTGTATATGGTAAGTAAATCCATTGCTAAAATCTACTTTTCAAAGACTCCTGTTGTACATTGAGGTGAGATTCATATTCAGTTTGTTTAAAAAAAAAATAAAAAAATAAAAAAAAAAATAGCTTGAGTTAAAGGGACTCTCCAGTGCCAGGAAAACAAAGTTTTTTTGGCACTGCAGGTCCCCTCTCCCTCCCACCCCCCCATCCCAAGTTGCTGAAGGGGTTACGCTGGCGGGGAAGACCCATTCCACATGCGCAGCCGGCGGCGGGGAAGACCTAATGCGCACGCACATTAGATCTCACCATAGGAAAGCATTGAATAATGCTTTCTTATGGGGATTTAAGCGACGCTGGAGGTCCTCACATAGTGTGAGGACATCCAGCGTCGTTATAACACACTTTTCATGTTCTATGCTCGACGGCCACTACAGGAGGACTTAACCCTTCAAGGTAAATATTGCAGTTCATGAAAAATGCAATAATTACACTTGCAGGGTTAAGGGTAGTGGGAGTTGGCACCCAGACCACTCCAATGGGCAGAAGTGGTCTGGGTGCCTGGAGTGTTCCTTTAATGGCTAAATGACTTACTAAACCATTCATATGACCTGGAAGGACGCAACAATTTTCATTACATTAAATACAATATCCTGTGACAATATAAAGTGTAAAGTATAGTTAGATTTATGTTTGTTCCTAGTCAATCCTTTTAATTTCAACAGCCTGAACAAACTAGGCAAACTATCTTTCATAGAAGGAAAATCCCCTCTCTCCCTTTATTAAAAACAAACTTTTTTTTTTTTTCTTTAAGCTGGATGATCGTTTAATTCACGTTTGTGCAATACAGTGTGCTGCATTGTAAGTGAGGTAGTCTTTTCATTGTATAATTTTCCCTTTTTGATTAACAGCAGAGGTAAAGCGCGTTGGGGACACATTGCTAGGAATGGCCACTCAGTGTGTTCAAGTGAAGAATGTAATAAAAACATCTCCTCAAACTCTCTCAAACCTGTGCCTAAAAATTAATGTCAAACTCGGAGGGATTAACAATATTTTAGTCCCACATCAACGGTAAGTTATGTTTGTAGTTGTCATGGTCATTGAAGACTTGTATAAGAAGATAGTTTTATCTTGGCCTTTTACTATAGCTCTATATGATTTTGCTTCTTCATATCTGATTAATTCAAAATCATTGAGAAATGTATATTCTTTGCATCATGTGGTTTGAATTGTATTACAGTATCTTGGAAACTATGATTTTATAAAGTAAGTGTGTGTGTGTGTAGTATATATCAGTGAGACTGCAGTACTCTGAGGATTAGAGCCTCTGCTAGTAATGCTCCCCATAGAAATGCATTGATTGGCGTTTTGCTACACATGCACACTAACTTCCAATGCTTTCCTATGGGAAAGAACTGGATAGGCTGAGATTAAGATTGATTGATTCTCAACCATAGAGGCAGAGCCAGACTCTGTAAAACCAGTGCGGTGATGGAGAAAAAGTGAGTAAAACTACCTATTAACTCTATTCTGAGAGGGGTTGGTAACATAAAACATTTAGTCCAGCACTATAGTGTTCTAAATACATGTTTGTATTCGTAACACTAAAGTGTTAATTTAAATGTAACAACAATAGTGTTCCTTTAAGGAAAGTTGCATCTGATTGAAAGTGACAGTCTGCATGAAAAATAAAAACCTGGTTTCAGTCACAGCCAGGGGATGTGTTGCAACGGGCTTCATAAACAAAACCAAAGTAATTTAACTCCTAAATGGTAAAGAATTGAACAGTGAGACTGCAGGGGCATGATCAATACACTTAAACTGCCAAAGGTTACGTACACATCCTGTTTACTAAAAATAAAAAAAATGTGCAACTGATTGGTGTCATAATAATGTTTGCTTTAATATGCCTGTACCTGCTATTGTGGCACATAAGGCTTGTCTGTATATCCTATTGCATGAAAATAATGAATTTTTTTTTAAAAAAATGAATAAAAATACACTAAAATTGCTTCATTAAGCTAAAGCTGTTTTGGTGATTTTGGTAATTTTAATGTACATTTGTTTTATGTTGCTATGCATTTGATTATTGTTTTTATTGGGTGAAATGTTCTTACAGCAATATAAAAAATTACAAGGAAAACCAAATGGTCAAAAACATAATTTATTGCAAAGAGCCTGATGGGTTTTTCTGGGAATTTTATTTATATAATTTTTAAATAAAAATGTGGGCACAGGAATGTAAAGACGATGTTTTAATGTTTGTATAATGCCTCTCCCTGTTAGAACAAAGTGTGACCTACAAAGTTTGCTGTTAAATATGGGAAAAAGTTTGATTCATTCAAGATTTTACAATCCTTCTGCTGTGATTAGAAAGGATGGAATAGAGCTTTTGGCACATTTTATCTACACTCATTGGCGAAGCTTAAATAAATGGAGGTCTATGTTTTGTTAGTATTGTTTCATTGAGAGCAATGCATTTTTCTTTTAGGCCATCTGTTTTCCAACAACCTGTGATCTTCTTGGGAGCGGATGTCACGCACCCTCCTGCTGGGGATGGCAAGAAGCCCTCAATTGCTGCTGTAAGTAGTCTTCGTCCTAGGTTTGCATAATTTGTTCTCAGGTACTAAAAAAGATTTTCAGCATTGGTGAAAATTTCACTTTGAAATGCAGTTGTCTTAATATATGATGAATGATCGAGCTAAGAGAGATACCATTTTTATCTATCCAATTAAGCTAGCACTTTAAGTAAGAGAATTCATTAAATTGCTATGTGAATGCCAAATTTTTGCCATCTAGCATAAGGTGCGTTGTAGTGGTTTTCATCCTCTATCTTAAACTTGCTTGGTCTGGTTTGTCTTTTTTTTTTTGCAGTTTAGAAGCCATTGTAAAATTTAATACAGCTGCAGAAAATGTCTTAGTAATACATTTAGTTGAATAATGTCTCCAAATCCTCAAATGTGCCTTTTGGTTTTAGGTTGTAGGCAGTATGGATGCACACCCTAGCCGCTACTGCGCTACAGTCAGAGTGCAGCGTCCTCGACAGGAAATCATACATGATTTGGCCTCAATGGTGAGGGAGCTGTTAATACAGTTCTATAAATCCACACGTTTCAAACCTACCCGGATCATCTTTTACCGAGATGGTGTTTCTGAGGGTCAGTTCAGACAGGTTAGTGTTTTTTGGTTTTTTAAAGAATTTTTCATTGTATTATATCATAGTCCTATAATGATGAGAAAGCATATACTCCCACATTTTAAGCGCAACATGTAAAACATTGACAATAGGTGTACAAGTAAGAAACTGGAACATCAGATCACCATAGGAACAACAGAACACTATAGTCTCTGTCTTAAGAAAAGTGTCAGCTGTGAGTTTAAGGAAAGTCAAGCTAGGTCAAATGATTTATATATAACTAAACTGTGGTGCCACTGGGTACTATTAATATTAAACAGAGAAAATAACAGAAATCCCTGCAATGCTAAAAGATTAATTGCTATGTATTTGCAGAATTTCCGATAGCCTTTAGTCCTCTTATTTCACAGGTAGGCCACAATAGACAGTCTTTTTCCATGCAGGACACCATTTCACTTCTCGCTCCACAAAATACTGCACTGGCTTAATGTAAGTGATCTGGATTTGGTCTGCAGTACCATTACGCCTCACCTACTTGAGTCCAGGCATTAAAGGAAGCCTATGTCCAAGGATCCCCCCACTCAAAGTGGCAGGATCTTGCTCCCATGGCAGTCCTGGGGCATGGAGAACCCTCCGGGTGTGTGGACGGCAGATTGGAGGTAACTCCAAGTGGGCTTCCAGCCCAGAGGGAGAACAATAAGAGGAAGCGGCATCTTGGGATTTCAGTATATTAAGTGAGATAGGGATATAATTCTGACAGCTGATGCGGTGCCATAGCGCCTGGCAGAGCTCCTCAAATTTTGCATTGAAACATTCCCTTCATCTCTGGCTCTCTGTTGTGGAAGCATTTGCTATGGCACCATCTTAGAATCCTCACACAGTCTCAGGAACAGCAGGAATTGATTCTGATATGCAGAGATGTAAGCCTGACACCCAAGATTGACGGAAGTGTATCTTAGTAGCTCCAGTAAATTTGAGCTAGAATTAAGCAAAATCTCACTGCATGCTGCCCTGCGTGAACAGCAGATCAAAACTTGAGGGAACTCCATAAGCCTGAATCACATATTATATATGTATGTATGTATATGCCAAATACTTACACTGTCCAGTTTCTTCGGCCTAGTGAGACTGTCGATCTGATTTATGGTGTGCTTCACTTTCCTGAAGCCCCATTACCCCACCTGGACCAGTCCCTGCTGGGGAACCTATTTCTTCAGCCTTCTAAAATTTAAAATATATAAACTTAAACATTCAAGCAAGGCATAGTGTGTGATGCTTGCAAGCTTGCCCTGTCTGTCATTGAATAAAATCGGAAAGGAGAAGTAAATTAATTCCTCATACACGCCCAAGACTTTGAACTTTTTATATGGTTTAACATGTGCACTAAAATTATCTTCCTGATATCGACAAACCATTAGTTACACGCACTGCACATGTTACATCAACACTGATTTCTATTAGTTTGCTGTAATTTTTGTGGCATCCATTTCATAACGGTCATTTCTTTAAGAACATTTTTCGTGCACCTACAGAATACAGGCTTCCCTTTTTTTTATTTTTTTTCCTGTATGTATTTTATTGGGAGTAACTTTAAGGTTGTAGCATTTGTTTATTTTTGTGAAGGGGATAAAAATCTGTTTCAAATAAATTCCTTTAATGTATTTGTGTGTTTTCAAGCAGGTGTTATATTACGAGCTGCTAGCTATCAGAGAAGCATGTATTAGTCTTGAAAAGGACTACCAGCCAGGAATCACATACATTGTGGTGCAAAAACGTCATCACACAAGGCTTTTCTGTGCAGACCGAACTGAAAGAGTAAGTATTGTTTTTAAATATTATATTGCCATCTCCTTCCATAAGAATAAAGAAAAAAAATACCCAACATATCCTAAAGTATTTCCGAAACGTACAAGCATACTTCTCCAGTTTGGGATTATTTGCATATGTCTTGGAGTACAACGGATATAATCTTTTAGCTATTTTAGTAAATATCTCTTCTGTCCACTGTAATGATCAGGGACCTTGTCATATGCGTAACTTCATTAGTAGTTTGAGTTTTAAGATTTCAATGTATTGTATAAATTTTTATTGAATCACCCTACATCTTTCTAGAGTATCTTCTTGCACACTTGCCAATATCTCAACAACAAAACAAAAATGTAATTTTGTATTAAATCTGTTTTTATTGAGGTCAACACAATAAGCAGTTTTCCCACGCAGGGGATAAAGCGTAAACAATGCACTTTTTATGGAAAAACATGAGTAGTTATGTGTACAAGTTTATCATATCATGTTATAGCTTTATAATGTGTTACCCTTTTCATTTGGTATCTAGTGCTCACCGCTCAAAGTTATCTTATATGTACTCTGCACCGAACTATGCAACACATGTGGCTGGATTTTTATACTGGCTAATGGTCTGTCAAGACAAAACAATCCTCTCATAATGCACAGCCTGATGTAGGCCTGTGTTATCTATGCAGTTCTGGTAAAAGGATATACATACTACCACATTATTAAACATGCTGTTAAATATGCTGTACTCTGTATTAACATGTGAACATTATCACTTTTGTGGCTAAAGCGGTGCATTTGTCTGGCATTGTGTTGCCATGCTAGATCATATTTGTTGACATTATGACACTGTTTCCTTATTTGCACAATAGGTATGCTATGAAGTAGATATACAAAACATTAAAAATAATAGCTTTCAAACTTTCAACATAAGGAGTATATTCGTTTTTAAATGCACGGTAAAGATGGGATGTATATCTCTTAATAAGTTGCAGTTATGTTCAGGTCCCTGAGTGTTAAGCGGGCTCTTCTCAAGCCAGATGTATGCGCTAACTGTTTTAAACAGCGCTTAATGTATGTTCACTGTGGGCGCGAGCGGCATGTGGCTGCTTGTGTCTCAGTGAGGCGGTATGCGGCAGTATGGCATATGTTATGGCCTAGGGTGTTATTTTAATAAGCCTCTTATCGAATATCCTACGGCGGAGCAGGTGTGTGCTACTGCAGTGTTGCCTGCGCAGAGGTTCATTGTGCTAAAAAGTAATTAAGCAATAAGCTGGGGCCTACGCAGAGGTCCAGTATGATTTTACAGGCTGTCAGTCGTTGACCCTACCTAAGCATTTAAGTTCAGTGCTGTGTTCATGCGCTGCTGGTCACTTTGTGAGCCAATTTTTAGCCACTGGTAATCAAGTTTTCTCGCGAATTGAACGGAAACCTTAAATAACATTCAATAATATCAAACGATATAAATTTAACGATATCTAATGTAGTCACCACGTATTGCCTTCTTTTGTCATATTCAGTTGTAGGCCAGGGTGCACCTATGTAAATATTTAGTATATAATGCCACAATCAGGTGTATACCATTGCTAAATATACTGTAAATGTGAAGAAGAAGAATAAATAAATAAATAAAAAATCCCCCCCCAACAAACAAACAAACAAACAAACAAAAAAAAAAAAATTATATGTATGTGTCACACAAACTCAAATAATTGCTTAATCGTACGGTGTGGTAAGCTTAAATGGCAGAGGTATTGCACTAGTCAGGCGATAATAAATCTTATCTATTAGCATTATAATAGTGACTTATTAATTGCACCGTAGGCATGCTGTGGAACCAATGTATATAAATTGAAACTAACAATAAATGAATAACTAAAATAAAAACTGTCAGACTTTTGACATATTCGTTTTTAAACTGAGCTGAGTATGTATGAACTAAGGAGCAGTATATCGTTAAGCAGTAATAAAGGGTATGAGCCTAGACCTAGCTTACACATTTTTAAGCTAGAGTCCTGCATGTTCCATTAGTTCCCTAGTGATATGGGAACTGATGCAGTGTTCATATATGGAGGTAAGAAAGCACATCTTGATGAGGTAACTTATGCCTTGCTGAATCATCATGTCGGCCTGCATGGCCGTCTGTGAGGAGTCTCTCACTGCGTCTCCATCATATTGTCCCTGGGTCGCCAGGCCTCCTTTCGTCCTCCCCCAGCCGGCCCCCACCCGCCAGCTGGGCCCTCCGCTGCACTGTGGGCACTCAGGAGCATGAACCGTCCTTTGGACCCAACCACAAAATCCGCGGGTCGTCTGCTCCCTGCACCTCCCCAGCTACACGTGAGTCCACTTCGAGCGCGCACTCTGCTGTCTCACCCGGTGCCGGCCACATATTTGGAGCTGGTGGCTATCCCCCCCGACCACCGGTCCGTCGGGAGGGCAGCGTTGGTCCTGCCCCACCGGGCTCGCGGCATCAGGGACAAAAGCTCTCCGGGGACCCCACAGACCCAGAGGCTCAGATGCCCGCTCCACTAGTGGTCGGGAGCTCAGCGTGGGGGGTCTGTCCGGCGCCCGACCGCCAGGGCCTGTACGAGGTGCCTCAGTCAGTCTCCCTTGTTTAGTCCTCTGTGTTCCGTCTCCTTTGGAGTAAGTCTGCAGGCGGGCCCCAGTCTGGTGGCCTTTGCCTGTTTAGGGGATCGGTGTTGGCCCCATGCGGTTTCTTCCGCCCTGGAGTATGTCATCCCCATGTGGCCGGGATTACCCCCACCGGCCGGGGGGGGGGGAGCAGGGCCGGGCCACCCCTTGTGGCTTTGCTGTCCTCCGTGAAGAATTGCCGGGTGTCAGTCTTCCCCGGCCTGTTGGGCCGCTATCTGTGCGCCTACAGGTGTCTTGCATGTCCAGGCTCATTATGGCGTGTAGGCCCGGTTTAGGAGACTCAATGTTCCCATCACCGGGTTCAGTGTGGTATCTTCGGATAGCTTATGTGTTCCTCTTCATCAGTATGTAGATGAATCCAGCTTTATTGTATTCTGTGTGCTGTTTTTTAGCCGTTTCCCTGGGCTCAGCCTGGGAGACATGAGGTTCTGCTGCCATCCAGCCTGGCGGCCCGGCCCCGCCACCCCCAAAAATGTAATTTTTAATGGTGCAAAATGTCCAGTTATTTGTAAAGGCAAGCATATAGTTTATTTTCTGCAGTTTGATGCAAACATTCAGTTTTTAACAGTCTGTAGTATCGACATGCTCAAAACTCCCACTTGCAGCTAACATACATAGTTTAATATTATGAGGTTGTAATCCACAGACAAACCAAAGCCTCTATTGCCGCTCGTGATTTCTCTTGCTTTAGGGATCCTAATATTTGAAGTGTTGGCAAATATAATAAAACATACTGTTGGACCGGAAGTTCTTCTTCATGAAGATATTGACAACATCTGATTCTTTCTTATATTGGTGCTGGTTTTAACATTACTGGAAAACATTATCCACTGTTCAAAAGCTGACCCATACTTTGATTTTTTTTCAAGGCTGATGGTCAAGTGCTACTGCTAGTACTACACCTATTGTCAAACTATTCATGGGTGTCTTCATATGCAACACATTTGAGGATTTTGTCTGTTTACCTTTTCTGAATTTTTTTTGTATTCTCTGGAGTTTTGTATAAAAATTCTAATTTGACCCAGTATTGTGCAATACTGCACCAATTTCCCTTGTTTTATCTTATGGATAAAACTGTTACTCTGCCTTCATACATTTAAAAAAAATTTCTGCTGATTACATTCACAAATTAGACAAATTATTACTGGAAAAAAGCATTTACAATGTGTCTTTGTTAAATTAAAAAAAAAAAAAAGGAAGACTGGCTGGGTTGGGATATTGGGGGTGGGGGGGGTGGGAGAGGTGGCATATTTTTGTGCAGCTTGAGAAAGAAACAATATGGAACAGGATTTTTTTTTTAGGGATTAAATTGGAGCAAATAGGAAAAGTGAAATAAAAACAGTTTATAAAATAAAGGCAACACTTTTTTTTAAAATTTTTATTATTAACCCCTGTGTACTGTAAACATTGTTTAGTGGCTCTGATGCACAGCATGGCTGTGTCTTATTGGAATGTATCCTGTTATAGGATCTTATTGTACAGTTCTGGGCTGCTTGTTCATAGTCAATCTCTTTATCTGTATATCAGGTTGGGAGAAGTGGAAACATCCCAGCTGGTACAACGGTGGACACGGATATCACACATCCATACGAGTTTGACTTTTACCTCTGCAGCCATGCTGGAATACAGGTGAGTTTTAGTACCTTGCATACATTGATATATTCCATAGCTTGTTTAGTAGAACTATAATTTAGACATAAGGTGATACTCTCTAAATTTATACACATTTGTATTTCATTCTACTAATTCCAGCAGAAAACTGGCAAATGGGTTAAATCATGCTATAACTCACATTCTCCCTACTCACCACCTGCAAATACACCGGATAAGCGCTAGTGTCAACGGAGTATAGATATTATCGCAAGCAGCAAACACTTATAATAAGGGTTACCCTCAACCCCTTACTGAAACAATATGCAAAAAATATAGGTTGTGCCAATATAAAGTCCAATTAGTCCACAATTGCTGGAGTCAAGACTTCAAATGGTGGAAGTATGTGGAATAAAAGCTGGAAATAACCAGTAATGGTGCAGAGCGGATGGAACTAGGTGCAGGACATACAACAATAATATATATGGTATATCGCTCTCATTTGAGAAAGCTCTGAGTTTAAAAGTCTGCAGCGGTACAAACCCCCTGATGGATATGTAGATCTAGGGGCTGGTGACTCAATGTATAGTTTAATATATAAAAGATAACGGCAAACAAATAGTGCTCACTGTAATCAATGTAAGAATATTCTACTCTCATGCAGTGGAGCAGTAGATCCTGCTCAGATGGTAGCGCTTGGGTGGTATCCCCACCAAGGATATAATTTTGCATAGATCCTTCAAGCAGTAGTATCCAAAGTTTCCTTATTAGGTAAGTATTTTAGTGCCAGGAACAGAAGAAAATAAGAAAATAAAAAATAATTAAAGCAACTAAAAGCATAAAAAGTGTAATAAATGGACAAGCACAACTAGTAGTGAATGCCAAATATACTTTGATTAAAACAAAGTTTTTTGCCAACTGGGAGTCTTTCTCAAGGGTAGATCTACATTTTACCTTCGGTTCTGTTGTTTGATTTAAGTGAACAGGAGATAAGTACTTCTAAAGAAAACTGTTTACTGTAAGATACGATTGAAAATTAAAACTTTAATTGATGCTGTGAGCGTTATCGGCGGGGAAGGTGTGACGAGGGCTGCATAAAGTGATTTAACTCTGAAATGGCAGGTAATTGAGCAGTGAGACTGAAGGGTCATGGTCTATACACCAAAACCGCACTAGAGTACAGTTGTTTTTCACTCAGTCTTGTTAGGTTGGAATTGCTGATGTATTCTGCTGGAGAAATAGAAAAAAACCAAATCTCTTATTTTAGAATGTAAGACTGTATTTTCTTTTCTTCTCTCCTATCTGACGGCATTTGTTTTAACAGAATTGTTTTAAACACTAGTAGCTACATGCAGCATTTAACCAATTATACATGTTTTGTTGATATTTTGTCTCAACGCAGGGTACCAGCAGGCCCTCTCACTATCATGTTTTATGGGATGATAACTGCTTTACAGCGGATGAACTCCAGTTGTTGACCTACCAGCTGTGCCACACATACGTGCGCTGCACGCGCTCAGTCTCCATACCTGCACCTGCCTACTATGCCCATCTTGTGGCATTTAGGGCACGGTACCACCTGGTTGACAAGGAGCATGACAGGTAACTTGGCTATTGATTAGTCAGCAATGAGTTCATTGGGGTGCCATAATACAATGCAAGGTCAGCTCATATTGACATCTATAAGACAATAGTAATCACCTACCACTAGTACATGTAATCTATTCTAGATCATGGTTTCTTAACCCATAATGCATGTGTTCCATGCTATATTATGCAGTATACAGGTATTTGAGAGACCTTATTGATCTTGGATGTACTAGACAAAAAAAATTGAAGTTAGAAAATGTGCATTTTCTTCATGGCTGAGGACGATTCCAGTTTTGTAATTTGATTGAACGCTACTGAAGGGTCGGTTTGTACAAATGCCTTTTTGGTTAGTGGTGGCATGAAGGCATTTAAAGCCAATCTTTTGATACATGGGATCATTTGTTTTGAAAGACAAATACACTACATGCAAAAGTAGTCAAGCGTTCTGATTGATTTGGCTTTCTCCACTACAATTGTTTAGCGGTGTTAGAGATGAACTAAACAGCCATGCAGTCTCTTTAGAATGAGATAGGACAGGTGTTGATCCTTTTGATCTTGAGTTTTTTTTTTTTTTTAATTGCAAACCTAGTTATGGAGGCCACTAGAAAAAAAAAATTGGGATATGTTTTAGCCATAGTATAGTGGCTTAAATATTCTTTAACTGTTTTACAGCTGAAAACCTACATCTTTCACAAACCTGTGTTTTCTTCTGCAAATAGTAATCTAAAACTCAAAGCTTTCTAGTTTAAAGGAGTGTTACCTCCCAAAGATCACTGTTTTTTGTAGTTGAAGAGTTTTTTTTCACTTTTGGGAGCAACAAAGGTTGGTTTAACATTTTTCTAGGTCATGTTTATAGGTATAAAATAAAATCAAACAAAAATGTTCTGTATAGTTGCATGTCATATGAATTTCACCTGTTGGTAAAGGTGAACATTTTAATACAAGACCATGATTTCCTGTAAGCATGTGTTAAGTTGTTTTCTTTAGGATGTTGCTTTTTTTTTTTTAAAGCTTACATAGTTACATACATAGTTACATAGCTGAAAAGAGACTTGCGTCCATCAAGTTCAGCCTTCCTCACATATGTTGTTGCTGTTGATCCAAAAGAAGGCAAAAAACCTAGTCTGAAGCGCTTCCAATTTTGCCACAAACTAGGAAAAAATTCCTTCTTGACACCAAAATAGCAGTCAGATGTCTCCTTGGATCAAGCAGCTATTACCCCACTAATTCGAAATTATTTCCCTGTGTGTTGTGTTTTTGCAAGTATTTATCCAATTGCAGTTTAAACCTCTGTAGTGACTCTGACAAAACCACCTCTTCAGGCAGAGAATTCCATATCCTTATTGCTCTTATTGTAAAAAAAACTTTTCTTTGCCTTAGATGAAATCTCCTTTCTTCCAGTCTAAATGTGTGACCTCGTGTCCTATGTATAGCCCTGTTTATGAATAGATTTACAGATAAAGGTTTGTACTGGCCCCGAATATATTTGTATAAAGTTATCATATCCCCTCTCAGGCACCGTTTTTCCAAACTAAAGAGATTAAATTTTTTTTAACCTTTCTTCAGAACTAAAAGGCTCCATTCCTTTTATCAATTTTGTAGCTCGTCTCTGGACTTTTTCTAGTGCCATGATATCTTTCTTTAGAACAGGCGCCCAAAATTGCACAGCATATTCAAGGTGTGGTCTTACCAGCGATTTTATAAAGCGGCAAAATTATATTTTCATCCCGAGAATTTATGCCTCTATTTATACAGGACAAAACCTTACTGGCCTTAGCAACTGCAGATTGACATTGCATATTGCTGCCTAATTTGTTATCTATAACAATTCCCAAATCCTTCTCGTGTGTGGTTATCCCTAATTCACTACCATTTAGTGTGTAAGTTGCTTGTGCATTCTTAACCCCCTAAGTGCATTACTTAGCTTAATTTCATAAATAAAAAAGTTTGTAAGCTATATGGTTGATTTACACAATTTTTTATTTTTTATTTTTTTTCTCAGTGCTGAAGGAAGCCACGTATCTGGACAAAGCAATGGACGGGACCCACAAGCCCTAGCCAAGGCTGTGCAGATTCACCAGGACACCTTACGCACCATGTACTTCGCATGAAAGCGACCTTACCCCCTAAACACGCACAGGTTTGACTTACTGCAAGCAATCCGAAGGATCTGCCACGTGGGTTCCAGGGCTTAAGAGGGTGGTTCCCTATCAAGGGCATTGCCCTTTCTAACCCTCCCCAGTGCTCCCTTCTAGCTTGCACTGAAGCCCAGGAGCAGTTGATTGAAGGGAGGGTTAGTCCTCGGCATAGAAGATCATGATGAACAGCACTATTATGCAATATAAAACCAGCCAACTGCTAGATCGTTGTAATGGAGCCTCCACTTGGATGCACTGCTTTTGTTTTGTCTTTGTTACTTTCCATTATTTTAACCCTTTTATGCCTTTACCTCAATTTGCTCTGCAGCCCTAGCTGTCTTTGCAAGGAAACAAAAAAATTTAACTAGAAAATAGTAAGGGTGTATGTGGTACGCTTGGATGGAGATTTTATATATTTCTCCTCATACACTGCTGTATTTGACTGGTGGGGGAAGTAGCACCATTTTACTTATAGCAGTGTAATGTAATCCTGATGTCCTTAAATGTATTTAATGTATTGCTTATTTTTCAGAGACAAGTGATGCTAAAGTGTGAGAATGTAAAGTATACATGGCCATGAACTTTTACCACCTTTGGTGGCATAGGGAATGACTTGCAGTAGCACAGGAAATTAAAATATACAAGCAGCACTTCTTGTGTGAATGTCAAGGTATGTGAGTGTTGTATAAATGTGACGTATGAGTGAATCTAGCTAATTATAAAAGAGGATGAAGAATGTTGTTCAAAAACGTTGGTGGTCCTCCCCCTCCCCCCATTTACCCTCACACCTTTTTAATAGGTGTCTTCAGTACTGCTGTTGTATGTGTACTACTTCCCAACCCCAGTGCGTCTCCGTCAGTCTATTCAAACTATAGTTTGCTAGTAGATATCATGACTAGATGTGCACAATGCTAATACTCTCCATCTGACCATATCACCTCTAACCTACCACCGAAGTTGCTAGTTAAGCCAGGTAAAGAGTGCTTAGTATTGATCTACACATGTCTTGTGCTGCATCTACACCTTTCCACCTCACTACTAGAAACGTACTGTAAAAATTGGAACATGGATGCCTACTTATTCAGGACATTACTGTTTGAGCTAGTGAGGGCTGCACAGCATTGACCACCCTGCATATATAAATATAAAATTACAGTTGTGTTTTTAAACTCTACTGCATTCTTTCAGGAAATGCGTCAATGCAACATCTAGTGTAGAAAGGTGAAGATGCAGCATTTTCTACTGTTTCTTTAAACAGTAGACTTCCTTTCTTCTTCTTGTCAATTTTATTTTTGCTCCTATATACTTTCAGTTACATGTTGTAATGTAAAACTTTTCCAGTCATTTTTTAAAAATATTTATTAGAGTAATAACACTTAATTTAATTATTTCAAAACTTATTAGCAAACCATTTTCCTTATATTTTTATTTGTTTTTGCTTGTTAGGGAACTGTAATAATGTTGTAAATGACGCTTTTCATTTTGTTTAGCTGATTATAGTGCAATAAGCAGAAATTAATTGTAATTCCCACACTGCCAGTGGGATCTGCAGAGCATTGCATAAAAGCCTTAATTATGAAAGGGAAGTGTCAAAGTAGCCTTGGTGGTATTATTTTAATAATCTATATAACACTGACATTTTTTTGAAAGTGTTGTGTCTACACTTTAATTGAGAAATATTACAAGAAACCGGTTTCCAACAGTGTGAATTGTGCAATTTTTGGTACTTTTGCTTTAAATACAAAGTATTTTTTTTATTTTATTTTTCCCCTACGGACCAATATATAAATATATATATGAATTCTTGATTGTAGTTTGTACACGGATACAGGAGTGCATATTGTATGTGCATAATGAAGTTCATTTTACTGGGTGAAAGTAAAGTGAGATCATTGAATTTAATTTACCTAATGTCCTAATGAAGAAACCTCATTTCAGTCAATGAAAGTCCAACACTCTCCAGGACCAATGCAGCTACTAGATTAGAATTTAGCAATCACAAGCGACTGATCTTCTGTCTATTTTAACACCACCAGATTTTGTATTTATATGCATTGCAGCTTACTTCTAAAGGCAGCTGTATTTGGTTGCAAATATACATGGAATTTGTGGAGGGAAAACGGTTCAATAAATTGGAAATGATTGGTTAGCATGTGTGTCTGCTTTTCCTTTCATTATTACAGAAACAGTCTCTTGTTTGCTCAGCACTTTAGAACTCTCCTGGTTAAATATGTTAAGAATTTTTTTAGACTTGGTTATGTTGGGCCAAATTCAGATTGAATACATAGATGATTTCCAATATAATATGACTAATCATGCCAGTTTAACAAAGAGCTCTTTAAAAATGGAAGGGGTGGTATAGTTGCCTTGCATGCTTTCTTTCTGGTTAAATCTGTTTAACTACCAATTATACCAAACTATTTGTTTCAGGGCGACTGGTGTATTTCTCTTATATTTTCGCACATTATCTAATGCCAAATAACAGCAGGTCTTTGTTTTTTTTAAAAGTCTTAATTATTTTCCTTCTCGACGTAAAAGAGAACGCATGTTGGTATAGGAACAGTTATGTACAACCGTGTCACCCCAGATCTTTTAGAAATAATAAATCACAGCTACACTGCTGTAAAATAGAACACTTACCAATATGACAAGTATTCCCAGAGCATGATACACAACTTAAAAGACATTTAAAGGGACACTCCAGACCACATAGGCACATTTTTGCTGAAAAACTTTGTGGGAAGAGTGTCATTCCAAGCAAACAACCGATCCTGTTTGGTTAGCTCAGTGGAGCTGTACTCAAGAGGCAGCAATTACCAAGTACAACATCATTACAAAGACTTCTCATTGAGCTGCATTGTGAAGTCTGTGAATGGAAAGCCACAGAAAGTCTTGGCGAGGTTAAAAGGGGAGTGTTTGAAAAACCTGCAGTTCTCGTCTGCTGCCTTTGCAACCTGGTTTTATATATACCAGCAATGAGAAAATGCATAATTAAAGGCATGCAAATTTTCATTGAGGTATAACTATTAAACCATGTATTAGGGCAGTGGAGTGTCCCCTTAACTACATTTCACAAATTAAATTGGGCTCTGCTCACAAATTTTGCAGTCTGGGGATAAATTTTTGTAGCAGTCCCTCATGATTTTAATTTTTAATATTTACTTTATACAAAAAGTTCCCAAGGGGAAGGCAGGACTGTGCACCCCTAAATTTTATGTTCAGATTTTTGTCTTGTGTATTGAAAAACTTTATAGATATTCTACCTCTGTAAGCGCCACTGTCATGTTTTGGGGAGCGGGTGGGGTTTCCTTTGCCACTTGTACATTTAATGTTCTGCACCCTCGAATGCCTTTATTCATAGTTATTATCTTTAATGCCTTGCACCTTTACCTGGGAGCTGGGATTTTGTTCTCCTCTGTCCATGAGGTCTGCAGCATGTCTTCTTTAAGATTCTTTTGACTGCTGGATTATGGGTAAATTGCCATGGCAACTGAAATGGACAGTAAACTCTGCCTGTTGCCAAAGATAATGCTCTACATAAGAAAAAGTAGCCTCTAATTTTTATCATGTGTGATTCATAATCTAAAGTGAATTTAAAAAAGTTAAATAAAGGGGCAGAAAAGTATTAATGTAAAAACACAACCTGCAATGTGACAGTGTTGTTTAAAAACAAAAACATAGTAATGGTCAAGCTACACCAAGCAACCCCCCTTCCCTTGCCCCAAACTGAACTTACTGAGCTATGAGCATTTTTTTTTAACTTATTTAATTTTTTGGGGTGGGGGAGGCGGGGATCAATTATACAAAACCACCATTCAGTGGGGGTTTAACAATGTCACTTACATGAAGGACTGTCCTATTTAATATGAACAGTTTAAAAAAAAACAAAAATGGTAGTTTTGAGTAAACCAATTAGTTCAGGTGAAAGCGTGACATCTGGTCTCGAGTGCTTTCTAGAGACGGGTGCAATCGAAAGTTAAAATATATATTTCTAACTTTAGCACTATACAAAACACTCTTGAACTCAAACTAACAAGCTATATATTTAACTTACCAATTAAAGTTGTAGCACTTTAAGTTCAAATTATTCTCCTTTCAATGAATCTTGATAATTAGTCTGTACGTCGACTCTTATGCCCTTCATTTGATTTTTACAGTAGCTTTTCACTAAAAATAAAATTTTAAGCTCCACATATCTCTCTCATGTTTATTATGGTTCATGTATTCTGTTTAAATGGACACTATAATCACCAAAACTACAGCTTAATGTATTTGTTCTGGTGAGTAGAATCATTCCCTTTCAGCCTTTTTGCAGTAAACACTGTCTTTTCAGAGAAAATGCAGTGTTTACATTACAGCCTAGTGATAACTCCACTGGTCACTCAGCAGATGGCTACTAGAGGTGCTTCCTGGGGCAGTGCTGCACACTGTGCAGTACTGCCATTCCGTATCTCCACCCTCTGCATGCAGACCCGGAACTTTCGTCATAGAGATACATATAGTTATACAAGATAGTTGAATTCATCTCTATGAGAATATGTTGAGGGCCAGAACTGTGTTTGACTTGTCCTGGCTATGCCCCTGATCTGCCTTCTTGACAGTCTCAGCCAATCCTATGGGAAAGCATTGTGATTGGCTCACAGAATAACTTCTGATGACTGCCAAGCAGACAGATGAGGGGCAGAGGCTGCAGACTTGTATACAAGTAAGATGTTACAATATTTAGGGAGGCAATGTGGGGTGGGGTGGGGGGGGAGAGAGAGGAGAGTGGCTAGATGGTGGTTTTAACACTATACTGTTCCATTAAGATTCCTTACTAGGGAAATATGTAAGCAGAAGGATGCAGGATCAAATCCCACTTTAGTTTGATTTACGCTACACCATATTTGATGTGAAATTCCTTACAGGTGGCAAGATAAAAAAAGTTAGTTAATTCATGCGTAGCTTCTTTATCTCCTAAAATAGGAATGTTCTTTCCCATGTGGGCACATACTTTCAAGCTGTACTTTCTAAGATGTCTGTACTGGAATAGCTTTTGTTTCAGACTTCTGGACACTGGAAATAAGATCAGCCTTACCATGTTAATCTCTGCTGATTTTTACCACTGTCCCGCCCTTCTTATTCAGGATTTCTATTTTGAATAGAGTATGACATGCTAGTTTTCAGCTGAAAGAGTTGCTGTATGTCCTCTAAAACTAGTAATATAAATATGCTGCAGTGTAAAGCAATAGTGAGGGAAATGTGAAGGCAACCAGAGGGTAGCAATAAATCCAATATGAGCACTTTATCAAACTCTGGATGTGTAAAGAGTTTCTGGTGCTTTAAGTCTAGAAGTGACATGTCGTTTTTTTGTTTGTTTTTTAAATACAATTTAAAACGGTTTCTGCTGCATCAGTCTTGACTATCAATCTTAAAAAAAAAAAAAAAATTATGGAAAAACCACATTCACATAGCAATTAATCATAATTTTTAGGATATGTTATTTATGTACGTGAAATACTAGGGATTCTTTGGTCTCCAAATATAGGTGCCAAAGTATGTGTAATTGAGCTTAAACATCATGGTTGTTAGAACCTTTTGCACCTTAGTAGTCATAAAGCTATTCTCTTGAAGATCAAATAATTAAGTGGGACATAAAGATGTATTTCAGAAATGCTTTTGCAGATATTTATTGGTAATACATTCTCCTGTAGGGCTTCTTTAGAAGCGTTTACAGCAAGTAGTAGTGAATGTTTAAGCTGAGGGCCTCACTACTTTTCATTTATGGAGTACTTCATTCACCTACTGTATTCGTATTTACACCATTAGGAGTACCAGTTTGGATAGCAAGTTTTAGCAATTTCTTGGTTCATGCAAGAATTGCTAAAAAAAAAAAAAAACAGCAGGTCCTTAGGGGTTTATAAAGGTTTTGTTTTCTTTATCTATTGAGTGCAGGAAATAAACTACTGATTTTCCCTTTAAGGTGACTTAAACTTGGATGTTTCCTCCAAATCAAAATAAAAGATCAAAACTTTAAAGAAGTCTTGTAGAGTTCTATGTTTTAGTATCAAAATAAAGCAGTGTATATTATACTTTTTTTTTTTTTTTTTAATACATTGGTGGTGTTATGCAAATGTCAAAAAGCCCCCGTGTGTGTGTGTGCATGGAACTATAATTTTGGATAATCTGAAATCCTATCACGTGCATTAGTTTCTTGCTCATGACTACAATACCTCCTTATATGCGTTGCGCAATTATTTAAGACGCTAAACTTTCTAGAGTATTATTTGACATTTTTCTTTTTTGCTTACCCTAACTTGGATTCATGTACTAAATGGATATACAAGGTTAATATGAACTCCGTTCCACATATCGTAGTTTTCCAAAAGAGTAACTATACCGAAAAACTGCATTATGTTTCATGGCATCCCTCTAGAGATCCATAAATATATTTGTAAGTTCTAGCTTCACAGAGCATCAGAAACTATCTCTACTCACATTCCAATTACATTGTAAGAGCTACATTATCTAGTGCCTGCTCCATTCCATTTCACGCCTTGCCTTTCTCACTGGACTCTGCTGAATAAGTTCTTTATGCCAAAGGTTTATATTTTGGAGGTGACGTGGCTCACTTCACTCCTATTTTCCATACAGCTTTACATTCAACCACACTATACCTTTTTGTATGTGGTAATTCTCCAACATGACCACTTACCTGACAAAGTAGAAGCACCTTGCACTTTTAATAATCATTGATTTCCTCATAGTCTTCAACACACTCAGTTTAAAATGGATTTATTACAGAGTCATGATGTTTAGCAACTTATTTAATCTCTGATGTAGCTGAGAACAATAGGTGCCAGTGACGTTCTTAAGGAAAAAGACCTTTTGTTCATAAGACAGAGGTTTGGAAAAAGACTGACTTTTACTTAAGTACAATTAAAAAATGAGGTGTTCTTGTATTTTAAGACCAGATCAAAAAAAAAAATATATACATTTTCTAATTTTCAGGCTCCTCTTCCTTTTTGAGTAGACCTCTGACAGAAAAGCAAGTCCCTATTGCACCCCTATGAGGAACATTGGATTTAATTATGCTGGATGAGGCAGAGGGAGCCTTGGCACTGGAAAATATCAGTGAACTACACACAGTGTCTTATTATAGCTTTGTACAGGTTTATATTCCTAATGCTATAGTGTTAATTTTAGGTTGCCGTTTCTGCTCATGTGTGTATCATGGAATTTGTAGCTATAGAAATTGTATTGTAAAGGCACTTGCAAAGGGAAACTTTTCATGCATATAAATGAGTTTAAAAAATCCATAGATCTAAAAAGGCTTAATTCTCTTTTATAAATGGTCATACTTGTAAGAGAGATTTGTCTCGTACTACTAGAGGCAATGACAAGCAAAATAAATATATAAATATATATCTTAAATTGTGTTAAGAGCTTAAAGTGGCTCTTTCACAGGCTGTGACTATTTAATTTTTCCACCCCCACGATTTGGTTTTGATTCCAGTCACAGCCGTCTTCTAACGTATGCCAGTGATGTTGCATCTGCATTCATTTGCCCTTCACTGTGCATGTCCGTTCTCAGTGCTCGTTAAGTCTACCATAAACGTTGGATAGTCATGGAGTAGACTTGTGATGTTTGACGCCAGTCGGGCATGGTGCACAGGTGAGCTTTATGGGAATACTTCACTGGACAAAGGAAGTGGAGCTTGCCTTAAGCTCCATCCTTTTTCAAGTGTTAGAATGTTAAACAAAATACATATGGCAAAGTAGTCCCTGTTTTTGTCTTATGTATTTTAAGAAATATAGATAAAATAAGTGATTTAGAGATAGGAAGATGAGATGGTGGTGAGTGTGACATGCCAGACACTTTAACTGCAAGATGGTGCCTCTCAAGTTGTTCAGAGCAGTGGTATATCATACCCTGCACTTGTATGTGAAAGTTTGTGAGTTTTGTATGCTCACATAATTTTTCCTCATTTGTTTTAGTTTTAGGGAGCCAACGCCATTACTTAAGACCCATGAGCATAGAATGGAGAGCAAGGGAAATAAAAGGAACCCATTCAAATAATTATGAAATGCAAAAGAGCCTATGGGCTTCATCAAATGTGTTAAAGAAAAATGTGCACTAAGAGTTTAATCTCAATTGGGTCTTTCATAGCTTATCATCAAATTATCAAAATTTAAAGGACCACTATAGTGCCAGGAAAACATACTCGTTTTCCTGGCACTAGAGTGCCCTGAGGGTGCCCACACCCTCAGGGACCCCCTCCCTCCCGCCCGGCTCTGGGGAGAGGAAAGGGGTTAAAACTTACCTTTCTCCAGCGCTGGGCAGGGAGCTCTCCTCCGATCCTCCCATTCGGCTGAATGTTTTCCTATGGACGCTGGCGTCTTCTCACTGTGATTTTCACAGTGAGAAGCACGCAAACGCCTCTAGCGGCTGTCAATGAGACAGCCACTAGAGGATTTGAGGGCTGGATGAACCCATTTATAAACATAGCAGTTTCTCTGAAATGTTTATAAAAAAAAAAAAAAATGGGTTAACCCTAGCTGGACCTGGCACCCAGACCACTTCATTTGCTGTTTTGTGTCATTAAGGACTGTTTAAAACCATGGTCCTTGCTCCCTAATTGAAATAAGAATGATTATTGACTTCTTCTTTACCATTTCATGTCACACAGGAGAAATTGCACCACTAATCACTCTAGAAAGAAGGCCATAAATCCCTGTGTTTATACATCAGACTTAAAAATGGTCTATGTTAATTAAAAATGATTCACTTAATATGAATTTAATATGTAAAATACATTCATGAAATACATGTTGTACCTGTTAGTTGTTTAAAATATCTAAATATATTAAGATTTGTGAAACAAAAGCGTCATCCGAACAAACTAACTTCCCTCTTGTAATGTTGAAATCACAAAAATGCTCACTTAACAGAATTGTCATTGCTTAAAATATTTATTTGTAGAGCTGAATTTTTGGTTTAAATATTGGGTTGTGAATGTGGCAAAAGAGAGGGCTTTAACATGTTTGTACAGATTGGTGGTAACTTGAGGCTCAAAGCCAAGTTCCTTATAGATGGTCATTGGGATGGTTATAGTATGTGAGTTTAAATTGCTACTAGCTCTATTGGTCCTGGAGACTGGCTCTTATCGCACATTGTCCTTTCTTAAATGTGCGAGTTAGAAATTGTTAAATGTATTCACTAATTTGGTTATCTGTATGAATCAACTGACGCACAATTCAATGTTCATTAGTGCTATTTCTAAAATGTCTCTCTGAATGTTTGTGGCACTTAATCTTCAATGAGTCTAATTTTCAGAGCTTTGAAAATAATCTGGTTTCTTTTAAGTGATGCTTTGTAGTGAACAAATACAACAGAGAGGGTACATGTGAACAAAGTATGGCTGATTATCTTGTATAAGACCACAAAAGCAAGTTGTATTTTATTTCTTAAGGGGCATTTGGTTGAAGTGTCTTTACTCTCTACATGAGTCTTCTCAAAAATAAGCTTTTTATTAAATCTATAATTGATATTCATGTGTCAAATCCTGGTCTCTGCAGGATGCTGTTACGTTTGGTTAACTTTACTTAAAACTGAACCATTCCTTTTCACCCCAGATGAGTAACTGCCCCTGTCCACTTTACACAGGTACATTCTATTTATAGATTAATAGTGAAGAGAAGACCTTTTATTGTATGCCTATGATACTTTAAAAGCTACAAATGTATCACATTTTATTTTTCAACATTAAAGGGTCACTATAGTCACCAGAACAACTACACGTTAATGTATTTGTTCTGGTGAGTATAATAACTCCCTGCAGGCATTTTCATGTAAACACTGCCTTTTCAGAGAAAAGGCAGTGTTTACATTGCCCCTAGGGACACCTCCAAGTAACCACTCCTTAGATGGCCACTGGAGGTGCTTCCTGCCTCCGAGCTGCACAGTAAGCATCCTGCCGTTCAGCATCCCCACGCTCTGCATGGAGATGCAGAATTTTCCTCATAGAGATGCATCTCTATGAGGAGGTCCTGATTGGCCAAACCAGCATTTGGCTCCGCCCCGTGAAAATTTTAGCCAATCCAAAGCATTGGATTGGCTCTAAATCTGACATTTTGATGTGACTAAGGGGGAGGGGGGGGGGAGGTACCTATATGGTGGGTTTAGCACTATAGGGTCAGGAATACATGTTTGTGTTCCTGACCCTATAGTGATCCTATAATACGAAGTATCTATTTTACATTTTTGGCCCCTACAGCAACCATTCCTGTCTTGCTTTGGGCACAAGTTTAACTATTTTGGTTAGCATTTCATCCACAAATTGTATTGGTTCTTGCACATTCCCTTATTTTCACAGGTTTAATTCAATGCCATTTAATAGATATGCTATTTTTTTAATAAGCTATATTTGGTGTTAGTTCATAGCTGTGGATGTGCTCATGACTCCTAGTTTTGGCATATGTCATAAATTTTCTTGTTTTCGTGTCTGATCAGCAGCAAAGTCCATGACTGCTGTGTGTATACACACTCTGTTTTTGTCATTAAAAAAAAAAAAAAAAATATTGAAAAGATCCAAATCTCTATATTCTCATGTCTGTCGTAGCTTCACGGTCTTAATTTCACTTAAGGTAGATAACCTTTTTTTTTTAATGCAATATATTTGTACATTCCTGCACATGGGTTCTCTCAGCTGCTGTAACTGAAGTGCTGCTCCATATGACATACATGCTGTATATTTTTGTGCTTCTTATGAATATTCTATATCAAAAGGAAATGTGCAATTTGTGTAGTGGACAGCTCCTCCGATTATGTGATAGTTACTGTGTAAGTAAATGTACACTTTGCATTTTCTTGCTAATCAGAAGCTGAATTTGTTTTGCCAATTGTACAATATTAACGTCGGAACAAATTATTGCTCTTAAAGGAACACTATAGTGCTAGGAATGCAGCTTTTATTCCTAACACTAAACTGTTACTCTGCGCCCCTTCACCCCTCCGGGCAAATAAAGGGTAAAAATTTCCTCAGTGGTGGATTAGTCTTCACCTCCTCAGTCTGCACCAGGACAACTTAACGCATACGAATAGTGAGCTCTGTCCGCATTAGGTCTTCCACATAGGAAAGCATTTACTCACTGCTTTCCTATGGGATTTTGCAAAACACTGGACATCCTCATGCAAAGGGTGAGGATGTTCAGCGTCCTTTCACGTAGTCAGATTCCATGAAACGGCAATAAGGGCCTCTAGTGTCTGCCTGGTAGCCTGTAAAGCCAGTCTTAACCTTGTAATAGAAACCTTTCATTTTCTTTAAAACTGCAATCTTTTAGATTGCATTATTAAGGAGACATGGAGAATGTACCTAGACCCACTCAATGAGATGAAGTTGTCAATGTTCCTAGAGTGTCCCTTTAAGCCAGAATATACTTTTTGCACCCCCAAATCAAACCCTAGGTGTCACAATGTTACCCCCTCTGCTGCACTAGGAAAGGAGATGTTCTGTTACTTTTCTAAATGCTTTATGTGAGTTTAGCAAATACTGGTTCTCTTAACTAGTTTCACTAGAAAATGTCTCTGGTATTCACCTTCTCAGAAATTTAAAAAAACAAAACACGCATTCACATAAATGTGAATATTGCCTGTGCCTGTTTGTATTCCTAACTGTCCAGAATATCTTCAACATTAAAAATGCATGATTTCACTTTCTACAAATGTCAGAATTACTTCAAGAATTTCTTAGACAAGCATATAAACAAATATAGATGTGCTATACTAAGCAAAATAGTTCTATGAAAAAGTGCCTTTATTATAGATGGTGCTGTAGAATAGGGCATTTGTTATTGTTGCCAGATCCTGTGTGAAGCAGAAAATGTATGCATATATTTTTGTATATGTATATATCAAGCCAAGTGTAAAGACTGACATTTCATATGTTCTACCGAATTCTCAATATTGTGTTCTTTTTGGCCTGTTTACTTGTACTCCTCAAGAACTACCAATGCCTTCTTGAGATGACCAAAAAGTTAAGTGCTCCATACTGGAACATGCACGGAATCAATGTTATTTATAAAGAATAATTTTACTTTCAGTAGGGACATTCCATTGGTTTTCTCAATTGCCTCATTTTGTTAGGGAAAAAGAAAATACTCTTCATTTTTCACGACCGCTTTAGTAAACTTAGTCCAGTATACTCTGTTTTATATGGGTGTTTGTTGTTTTTTGTTTTCTTCCCTCTCCCAAAATTAGAGAGGCATGCTGTGACACCTTTAATTTTTTTTAAATAGTTTTTTTTTTTTTTGGGTGGTGGAGGTTCCTTAATGCATATTAAAAATACAGTCAATATAATGCAATGGCACATTTCTAACTTAAGACTACTGATATATACTAATTTTGCTAGGGGAATTGGATTGTCAGAAATAACAGAAGATGATTGAGTGTAATCAGTGTACGGAATAGCCCAAATAATCCAGGCAAGGGAAACCATAAGTAACATAACAAACAATTTATATAATACCAGTAAGCGTAGAAGTACTTAAATGCACAAACATGTCCGCTTACACGTTAAGTGTCAGCTATATGACATTTTGGTTTGGTGACAACAATCTGCATTCAGTTCTGTTTTAAAAGAAAAATATGTTGCCAGTTTTATTTCAAATGTTTTTGAAATTCCCTTTTAAGTAGTTGATTGAGGTGTTTTGGTGCATTGTACCATGTATACCACATTTACAGAAGTGCACAAGTAGGTACACTTTGTTATAGGTTTTGTTGTTGTGCCTGGCTATGCAGCAGACACTGTTTGCAAAGGTTTTTTGTTTGTTTGTTCCCCCCCCAACATTCTGTGTGCTGCTCTATTCCTTTATAATTATACTGCAGACAAGTTTTTGCCTAGGTTATTTGAATGTCAATATGGGATGGGGGAGGGTTGTGGGAAAAACATGCTCTTATTAAGTGTGGTTATTAAATTGATCTATGTAAGCTGTGGATGCGTATCTTTTATACATTTGAATATTCCTCTGGGTACGGTTATTAGTCATTACTTGAGGGGCCCATTATGTGGCTTTCTCAGCTCCACACATAGTACCTACTACACCCCCTACTATCACTTGTCTTAAGTTGCAAATATTAAATTCCATTATATTAATGAATGTTGCTTCTAACTTTAAATTTTACAAAGCTTGTCTGTCTTAATGTTTTGTTAGTCCAATAAAAAAAAAAGTATCCCTACATTCTCTAGTACTTTTTATTATATTATTATTATTATTATATTGTCATCTGAATTACTGGACTAACAGGAATACTCCAATAAGTATGTAATCTCACAATATTTTTTTTTTTTTCTTATGGATATGCCATCTGTTTCAGTTTGCCATTATTTACCTTCCATTCTGGAATGGAAATACAAATGGCAAACTTTATTCAGAATGTTTTTGCCGCTGCTCCTATGTAGTATTACACTCCTTGGTACCTGTTACTTACACAGCATTCTTACATGTAGCTGAAATATAGAATGTTGTAGTGATAACTGTAGAACAATGGGCATTAAAGTGTGGTTTACCGATATCTTACAAAGAGCACGGCAGCCCATGGGCTCTAAGTGTTTACAATGATCTGTTTGGGATGCCCCTGCTGTGCCTAGGTATATTCTCCTCTTTTCATCTCTTGCACTAGTTTATCTATATAATCTATCAAAAGTAGCCAATGAATTATGTCCTCCTTGCGCGCGCGCACACACTGCAAGACATAATTCACTTCTTTATCACTAGCAAAATATTTTGGCAAGATGTAATGTTAAATAAAATTGACCTTTATATTTTGTTAGGATCTGCAAGATCCTGCCAATGTATTAAAAATATTGTTTGATCTTTAATACCTCACAACATTGTAAGCTTTTTGTGTGTAAGTCAGTTTTGACCACTTGCTAGAGGCATATTCCCCCCTGAAATATTTGAACTAGCTGAACACGTTACATTGTTCTAAACCCCATAGGGTGTTATTTAGAATGTAGTGCCCAAGCATTGACTGATGGTACATTCTTCAGAACAACTGTTGGTCATTTGTACACGTTTTTGTATTCGTCACCATTCTGTATTGACTACATAGAAACTTTTCACTTTGTTTTCAATTAAAGTTAATAAGGTTTGATAGTTTACTGGAGAGATGCACTTAAAGGAACACTCTAAGCACCATATCCACTAAAGTGCACTACAGTGATTATGGTGCAAACCGTTTTACAAAGTTTTTACTTTTTACATGGCGTCTGCTGCACGCTGGAAGTTCCTACATGCTCCCCATAGTTAACTGATTATACAGTCAGCTCATTGGCTGAGAGCATTAGTTAATTGCGGCACCGTTGTGCTCTGCTCAAATCAAAGATCTTCCAGCTTTTGTAGAGGAGGTGACCAGTATTGAACAGACCAAAGCACGTTGTAATAACAGTGGCAAACGGTTGACTACTTACGATGGGTTCTACCAAGACTCTGCTGGCACCATAACCACTGGTTAAGGTGTATGAAATGTTTTTAATATTTTCCTAAAGAAGAATTAGCCTGTTGTAATAGGATCTGTGCAAGACTTGATATACATTAATGTATGTACTTAATATAGGTTTATGCATACATCATGTGCTGCATTTTAAATTTCTTCTAAACATGTTGTCAAACCAAAACTTATTAATGTGGCTCTGCTTCTTGCCAGTGAAGGGGTGTCTGAAATAAATATCCTATTGCGAAAAATTTACCAATTTTTTTTGGAGTGGTGAATAGTGGGACTTGTGTGTTGTTGGGAAAAAAAGATTACACTTCTTTGTAAACCATATGTGTGCCTGCCTGCTGCAGAAAAACAAAGGATTTATGTGTATGCTATGTGGGTAGGGGAAACTAGAGTACATCACTTTTAAATCTTTAGTTACTAGGGAAACCTCATTAAAGGGCACTTCACAACTTCCTCCCATTACCTATAGTTAATATGCTGTCTCTAAATACATTGTTTCATATATTCATAAAATGGCCATTTCTTTTATATTCTCTATCCTCATACATTTCTAGATACCCATTTCTTAGACTCCCCTATTATCCCTAATAAATCTTCACTTAATGGTTTTGCTCTGCATCAGTCATGCATCATTTGACTTTAATAGTTTGTTTACTAACCTACACAGTACAAGGAGGGGGAAATGATTTCATATGACACTGCATGTATTCTCTTATAGTGTGAATGTAGCACATAGAAACTGCATTCTATGTGATGCAATAAAAGTATGATGCTTGGAGTAAAATTAGCAGTGGATCTTAACACCTTTACCTCAATGTGGCAAACTGTTTTACAATGATTTGCCCTCTTTCCTGGGCCCCCGCTGAGCTTCTGCTCTTATCTATAGTCAGTGACAACATACAGTTAAAAGCTGCAGAAGCCAGAAGTTGAACCTGCTGGCCATTCATTGGCTGAGTCAGTCCACTGCTTTTAACCAATGAATAAAATTCTGCATAGGAATATGCACAGAATCCATATTAGCAGGCTTAGAACTTGATGCCCCAATGACGCTGCAGAGGAGTTAAACAAACTAGACATGTGGCGTTTCACAGCAAAACTGCACATTCAGACTCCAGGCTCTGTCAATTTAAAAAAATCATTGAAATGGTCAATGGTGCTTGGAGTAACATTTTAAATATTCTGCCGGGTGCAGTCAGTTGATCTTATAGCTGCATCCTGGTCAGTCAGAGCAGGCTAATTACTTTAACCTAGTTGTCTCTGGATTCAAGCCATATGCGTAACACAACTAGTATGGTGCTCCATCAGTTATACCTTACTGTGGACACGCTTGAAGTGTACTCTGAATAGCTGCAATACGTTTGAAATATATATATGTTTGAAGAGCAACCAAGCATTCTGTCAGATAGTTAAACTCCTTAATCATCATACTAAAAAAAGCACATTTTCTGTGCTCTGATAAGCATATAAACCATCTTTAAGTACACACAACTGTAATTTAGCTGGTTTTGCAAGGTAACTGGATTAATAAGCTTTTATTTTTTTGTGTCCTGAAGAATTTTATACAGAAAATCTGCACAATATCCATCACTTTATAGCACAATATCAAATTGGTCTTATAAATTCTTTTATAAATGAAGAATAACTTAAAAGTAAAAAAGTTAACACTTTCTGTGCAAACTTCTTTGAGACTTGTTACAATACTTGCCAGAAAATCTAGAAGCAGACTAGCAGCAGAATGAGAGAAACTACACAAGTTGAAAAGTCAATGAAAGAGCATTTTTAGATTGTTTTCAGGGTTTAGAGGTCAAAATCCTAGTGGTGGATTGATGTCTGCTTACCATTTCTCTTTTTATATATACAAAAGAAAAGAGTGTGTACTCTTTTTAAAGCAAGTATTCAGTCTTTATTTTTCCAAAATAATCAAATGGCAACGTTTCAGTACCATGCTGGACTTTTTTCAAGACTAGCATGGGACTAAAACGTTGACACTGTTGATTTTTTTTTTTTTTTTTTAAATAAAGCTTTAAGATGTGCTTTAAAAAGACAGTGTGCGTTGTTTCCTGGTAATTATATTATGGCTCAGTTATGTACCAGGGCATTAACAAGATGGAGATAGTGAGTGTGCCAAACTCCTACCAAAAAATTTAAAAATTATTAGTGTCATGTCAATCTAAAATGCTGCTTGTCTTACTAGGTTTCGTATAATGTTTGACTTGCCGTATTGGTTCTGTCAGTTGCGTCGTGTCAGCTTAAAGGAACACTACAAACACCATAACCACTGCTCAATGCTGTGGTTATGGTGCCTCTTCGTATTCTAGTGACGTTTTAGGATGATTTGACTTCTTGCCTGGGGTTAATTTAATAATGTATGTTACTGTTACAGCTTAGTTTACCATACGTTCCAGTTGTTGGTACAGACATGCCATTATATTTCATGCTGCTATTGTACTAAAGGTCTTGTAATAACTTCTCTTAAAAGTATGCCAGCCTTGTCTCTCCAGCCTACAACAGTCACTGCTTAATCCACATTTCCAAGAGATGTACACAGCTCTCAGGAAGATAATCAGCTGTAATGGTCTCTCATGAGTACACCTAAAACATAATTCTGTGATTGCAGTAGTGATGCTTTAATCAACAGCAACCAGATGCACTATTTCAGTCTGCTGTGGTTTAAACTTCATAATGTGCCCATGAAATGCACAGTATATTTACTAATCATCTCAATATAGTATCAGTCACAAGTCAGGAAATTAATTGCATTGTATGATTGTGAAAAGCTCGAATGAAAGTGGAACACAATTTACATCTTTGCTGTTGTCTCTACCACTGAACATAGACAAACGGTGTGTGTGTGTGTATATATATATATATATATATATATATATATCTCTCTCAATCAAGCTGCTTGTTGAATGCTAAGAGCTATTCTGGTCTGTTATACTTTTAGTTTTGTGCAGCGCCTATGATAAAATGTCACTACAGTCCATAACAATGTGGGTGGTGTTATAATTAAACATATGTGTCTGACAGCAGCTGTTTTAAGGGAGAAAAACAAACCTTTAGCTGCTGTATGCCTTCGGTGTAACTTTTGAAGGCAAATGAAAATGTCTATGGTTTTTAAAATAAATCAAAATACCAATACAGGCACTATATTAAAATAAACATTGAATGTCACCTCTTTACACAAAGAGTGCAGTTAAAATGAAAGCATTGCTAGAGTCACAGTAGCATGTGGCTTATTTGCTTGAAGTTTCCATTTGAGGTGTTACTTTGTTACTCAGTCAGTGCTATTATTTAGAACTAGGAGGCTATTACTCTAAGCGAGTGTTATGTTTTGAATTTTATATAGGTCTTATTTACATCTGTATCAAATGCAAGATGTTTCAGGCACAGCTTGACATCTGATGTATATCCTGTTTCTGTATGACTTCATGTGTGGTCCATGACCCTCGAGAAATTATGGGAAATTGATTCCTGTCCTGCTTATGGAGCATCCGAACATAGTGGCAATGATTTGGAGTAAGTGTATTTTAGAATTGGCCTGGCTCTCCACTTCCTCCTTAAATGCTTCATTAATGTTGGGTAAATAAGGGGAACAATCCACTTAAAGGATACAGTTCCTCTTAATTGCATTTAATGGAAGTCTCTACTTATGCAGTGTAGCAGCTATATAGCCAAACACACTATGTAAAAATATCATACAAAAGCAGTTGTTGCTATATGTTAATATTACCATTCTAAATTGTTTTGAGTTAGGAGCTAGTCACATGCAGCAAGTACATCAAAATACTTGTAATGTAATATAAAGAACAATTGCAAATGCAGTGATGCTCAAAGGTATTTGGATGTTTGAAATACCAAATCCAACCCAAATTGATGTACATGGCAATAGTCGATAAGTCATTCTTCACTTGTAATTTTAGCTTGATATATTCAGTGCCTACATATGCTAAATAAATTTGTGCAAAACATTTATTCGATAATTTTGTTGCGCATGTTAAGTGCTCTAAGCGGTTTAGTTGTGGTCAGTTGCTTGAGACCTACTGTACCAAATATACTTGTTTTGATTAACCTAGGGGTTAAGACATCTGTGCACTATTCATTTTTTTCATTAAATGTGCGTAGTGGTACGTTGACTGCAAAGTTGGATTTTTATTTTCCAATTCTACATTGACCTAAAGTTGATACTCCGATGTCCATTTGCTACGGAGTAACTAAAAACCACAAATCCCGTGAATAACAAAACCATTTTGTTATTGCTGTGTTCAAACCGTTTTGAATTAATCTTTTAAGAATAGCATGTTTTGTATGCAGAGGTATGTCGCTTTACTTGTAATATTTTAGGCAAGCCAAAAAGGGCAAGAGGGGAGAAAGTCTAACAAATGAAAAATAGTTTTCTGTGATGTTATGTCAGATCAGAAACCATTGTGATCATGATGAGTAGCAACTGTTTTTCAGATGCTATATTTATGCGTTTTAATTCCCCTAAACAGCTTGTCTACTTTCCATAATTGTATGTTGTTGATAGTCAGGATTTACATTCCATTTGCATGGGAAACGGAGTGTGCAGACATTGTAGAACTGCACATTGAACTAACTTTTACTTTCCTAAGATGCTGTATGTACCAAATATCTGGTGTCACATACTACCCTCATTGCTGCAGAACCTGAATGATTTCAATCACGGCTGCCTAACAGGTAGATGCCCTGATTTAAATACATATTTTATGTAAAAAATAAATGTTTTTTTCAAAATTCCGGTATTCTCCACCAGTAGTTGTGAGTTTGTATAAAGTATTCTTGTGGCTGCTGTTGCTTTGTATTGTATTTAACATAATTAACATATATATCATGTATCTCATATTTTATTTCTAGACATTGTACCTTAATGAATATGGAGTATGTTTACTGAGTATTAGATTCAATATTGCTGCTGATGTTGTGTGTCCCTTGAATCTTTGCAACAAAGCACTCTTGTAATGTTTACTGTAACTATGGTGCTAGCAGCTGTCAGTGGGTACGTGAGTTTATTGAGAGGGTGCTCACATTTCTTTTTTTAATAAGAAAGCTGCCTTATTTATACAATTACAGTTCAAACATACATGAAGATCAGTCCGTGTAGTCGTTGCATGCCTTTGCTTTGCTTCCAGTGAACAAGAAGCTTATCTGTGCCACAAAGTGTCTGCTATGCAGTTTTAGAACATCAAATTTACATGGCTGATATTGTTTTGCCATACTTACGTTTTTCTAGTGTTTATGGCCAATATTAATAAAAACATTTAGTTTAGCTTAAGAAAATATCAACACATAGCTAATAAGGTTAAGGTGTTGAGTTTTGTGGGAAGTAGTTTTGGGGATATTTTCTTGTGATACAGCGGCCTCTACATTTATAATCAGCCCAAACATTTATTTATTTTTTTATTTCAATACTATCTCTTTAATCATTCTGTTGGCAACCAAAATTGTATGTGGGGGTGGTTGTTTGTTATATAGCATCCTGATATGCATTAATATTTGCAAATGTTATGGGGACCTGCCTATAGAATTCTGCAAGTTGTAACAATCTAGGGGATAGCCTTCAGTTGATTTGAATGTGATCAATCTCTACAGCCTTATTTTAAAAATGTTTCCTCTTCACTGCCCCTCTAGCTTCGGTTACAATTTTTTTTAAAATGTAGGGATCCTTGCAGTCGTAAAACCAGTAACACCACCTGTAGGTTATCAAACTGTTTCAGAACGTTTTTACGTTACACTGCTTCTGCCTCCAGTCATACCATAGGATAGAAAATTGCATAGAACCTAGCACATCAATTTGTGATTTGCAACTATAGTCCGTTGCAGTGTAGTAAATGTGTAGTTAATAAATATGATTCATCTAACATGCTTGTATTCTGTGTAAACTGAAAATAGCATTTGAAGGTGAAATCCTAATGAACACATCCTTGAGATATTTTTGTTTTCACCTTGTGTGAAGAAGTTATGCTGCAAGACACCCACCATTTTAAAGTAAAAATTAAAAGTGCCACACAGAAAATATATTTAATTTTTTTTCTTCTTCTACAGAAGTCAGTTGCACAAGTCCAAGGAAATGTTAACATAAATATTTTAATATACTCTTGTAAAATGTATTCGTATTAAATTTACACCTTAAGCACCGTACTGCAGCTCAATGTAGTTTTTATGCTATAAGAAGCATTTGGGTGCAGTTCCCATCTTCAGGTGATATGACCAAAAAATAAAAATCACCATCACGTCCTCATGCAGTGATGAAGAATTGCACCTCTACATTATCAGTCAAAATTTGGAAAGCAATGATAAGCTTCAAGGGCTGGGATAAGTCACCCCTAAACATCTAAAAGGGTTTGACAAAAAAATGGGGAAATGAACCAAAAATGTCTTGGCATTATAACCACCAAACTGAACTATCCTGGCTGTGCTGCTGAGTCCCTCTTTAATGTAATTTTTTTTTCCCCTTAAAACTTTTATGATTTGGCATTACATCATTGTGGCAAATCAGACAATTTAGTTATCTGCTTGTTCAGAGTGTGCCCACAATGTGGGTTACCCTATCAGAAATACCATGACACCATGGGAGTTGACGTGAACACAATCACATGTTCTTGATCAAAATATTCTGCCTTCTGTGCCCTAGAATATGAGCTTATCATACAACATTCCCTGTTGCACTGCTGCAGTGTGCCTTAAGAGACAACCGTATAGTAGTGATCAAAAGCTTTAATGGGATAATTCACCAGGCAGTGCAGTATCCAATGGATTTTAAGGGTTTGGGGATAACTATACTCACTATTGGTGAGAATTAATGTCCTTCTCGTGATTTGGCGCCTGGTGTCTGTTCGTGCTTGGGTATTATTTCGCTGACTGTTATCTTGATAGTGTATATTAGTTTTTGTGTTTTAGAAGAGGGGTGCTTTCGTTCATTTACTTGTTTATAATTTTCATAGTACCAATCATTGGAGATCAAATATTTCCACCTGGCTGTGTATACGAACAGAACAGTGGATTATCTTTAACATGTTTTAGATCTCCAGAATGCATTGGTTTCATAGAGGTCAGCAGGATCTGGCTTTCACTCGTTATGTGTTTCCTAAAAATATAAAAAATTTAAAAAGCTTGTGCCAGACAGATGATTACTGAAGAAGATATGCTGCTAGCTTTCATGGTTTTTTTTTTGGTCTCATCTATCATTTAAGCACTCTGACGGATGGAGTCTGCTGTGTGTGCCTATCTTGTATGTTAGGTTGCGTCTTAATAAATAGTATGTAACACAATCTGTCTAGTGACAAGCTGCACTATATCTTTGTTATCTTTAATAACATGGACAGAAAAATAATCTACCATTCGGGGAGAGGTGTTGGGAGGGTGGGGGGTAGGTAGAATAATACCAGCTGTGTGATTCAATGGTTCATATTTTAACATTTCCCCAGTCTGTATTGTATATAATGTCAGGCTATAGAAGTTATTTGAGATGAGATGTATAAACAAAGTTGCAATTCCAAAGCACCAAAAATAACACCATGACTAAGAATATTGTTGCAGCTTTTCACCAACATATCAAGTCTCATTGCTGCGGTTTCCATTTATCTTTGTTCATTTTGGTTGGAATGATTGCAATAAAGACAATACTTGTTCTTGTTGATTTGTATTGGAGTGCAGGGGTTGGAAAACTTTTAGGGCCAAATTTTTTTTAGTAGAAAGACGCAGTATGTGAGTCACAAGTTTGATTCCCTTAAAGATCAACTCATCCTTTTGTTGCGAGGTCAATAAAGTTAGTACTAATAAGTTAATAACATATATACCTCCAGACAAATTTGGAGACTAGCGAAAGTGAAATGTCTTTTTGATGAAATACTCAGATATTCTCTCCTGTTTTATATTTATCCCACAATTAACCAACCTATACCTTGATTATATGTAGAGATTTCTAAATGATGTCTGTAATATGTGAAACTAAATCAAGTGCTGAGGCGGTAAGTGGACAAAGTGACTCACACTTAGAATGGTTTTATACATCTCTCTCGTACAGGGATATTGACTAAAGTGTGAATTGTCCGATATTCAAAGTCTGTTTAGAATTTTACCGCAAAATTGAAAGCATAGCGGACTTGGAGAATTTTCCAGTTCAGCTATTTTGGTCTAAAATTTGAAATTCACATTGAATTCTCGAAAGTTCACACTTCAATGAATAACTGTGTTTATTCTTTACACGTCCAGAAGATTGCTCATTTACTGCAATATGCTGACACTTTTTATTAAACCAACATTAAACAGAATTGAAATTGGTGGCTAAAAAGGAGGGGGGAAATGGAGCAAAACAAGGTCATGTTAATTTTATAATGGTTATGTTTAGTTTTGGGTTGTTTTTTTAACCTCTTTTGGTGCTATGCATTTTTGTGATAGAGTTGCTGTTTAAGCCTTGCTCCCACACTAAAGTAGGATATTCTGTCCTGAAACGCCAGTATTGCTGACCAGTCGAATGTTGCAATTTGTACAGGGTGCAAACTATCTTGTGGCTGTGCTCAGAAAAAAAAAATATATATTGATATTCTGTTTATTTGTGGAAGTGAAAGGCATGTATATATGTGTGGGGGTATGATAATATATAATACACATGCTATACATTTATGTATCTCAAATAATATTGGAGATTTCAGTGTACAAGCACCAAATATACAAGGAGTAAATTATTTTGCTTTAACCTGTTGTAATGTTTGCTGTAGGTTTAATAATGGATATTTTTTAATAGATATTTTTTTATAGATCGCATAACCGTGAAATTCATCACTATCAAGCAGGGTACAACCAGTAAAATATACTCGAATGGCAGTTAAAGATGGTGTATAGATCATATTATACACTGTATTCAGATGTTCAGGAGCACCTGTAAAGGTTATTTCGATTAGTGAGATGGTAGATGATGATAAAAAAAGTCTTAGACTTGCTGTTTAAACATCTTGACTGCCAGAGGGCTTAATACAGGAACAGGAACCCTGGTTAACTATCGTTTTTGTCGTTTCGTTAAGTCTGATCTTGGAAGCCATGGTACTCTTGTGCAACTATTAATCCTTTATAAAATGTTTGATAGACACCCACTTTATAGGTATGTTTTGCATTGCATAGAGCTGCTGTATTATGAGAGATCATTCATTCAAGATGTTTAATAGTATGACCTACTTCCTGAGCCAAAACTGTCAATTATTCTCCCAGACAGCCAACCGCCCCTTACATTGTCAAATCTGCAATTCTGCCTACTGGAACCATTTCCATGATTTATTTTTGTTCATTTCCAGATTATTATTTTTTTTTTTTATATATATATATATATATGTTTGTTGGTTCTTTATTATTCACTTTGTTACTTGGGTTAATAATGTCGCTTGCATCAGTTTGACGTGTAACTTTCACTAATTCCTGCAATAAATAAAAAATAAAAAAATCATTTTCTTTTGTGATGCTTTATTTGTATAGCAATGAAAGATCTCGCATAGATAAAACCGATAAATTGGAGCAATGTGACAGAACATGGATAATATGACATCACACAGAGGCAGTATTCTTAATGCAAGGAAAATAATCTCTGGTGAGAAGGTAATGGTAAAATAAGTAACTTGTTTAGAAATGCCAAAAATGATTACAGGTAGTCCTCACTTTACGACTGACCTGTTTGATAACTTTTAGAGAGCTCGTCTACACATAGGCAAGTGCACCAGACCAGGAAATCCCTCAAATCTATGTTCAGGGAATATTCCCTGAACAAAGATTTGAGTGATTTATTTTTTTCTGCTCTGGTGCACTTGTCTATATTCAGGAAAATTTCCCTGAACATAGACCTGCACTGGTGCACATGCACTGTATCTCATTCTCACTTACCGACCAATTAGTTTTACGACCGAGTAGTGAGAACGGAACCCAGTCGGTAAGTGAGGAGTGTCTGTATTCAAAAGAATGCACATATTATGCAAGTATAGAAGGGGTATTCCTAGTACTATAGAATCCCTCTAACGTTCACAAAATAATTTAGAACAGGAACAATGTATCTTATTTACAAAGACTTGTTATTAAAAACATTTAAATTGGTTTTAAGACCCATTATTTGGGAGTATTAATGCTGTTATACACAGACACACCAACAATATGGTGCTCCTAGAAAAGGGGCTGAGATTTTGGTCAAAAAAGGGTCTATCCTCCATAAGTAGGGAACAGGTGGGAGATGTGAAGTAGATAGGGCACAAGTTATATGGGAAGCATTGTCATGTCCATTAAAAAGAATTTACAGTTTTGTTTTTTTTGGTAATTATTGATTTTGTAGTGTTTTTCTCAAATTATATGGACCCTTTATGAGTTGACAATTTGTTTTATTTTCCTACACATTCCTGATTTTATAGGCCTCCCAGACATGAAAGTAGAGTAAGTGATAATAAATTGGACTATTTAGAATAAACAATAGAAACTGTAAGCATCAGCAAGATTATAAATCCATAAAACATAGAAGTATAAAAATCTAAAGATTTACAGTTTCCAAAAATTGCAAGAAGCTGCACAGTGTGTGTGGGGGAGGGATGATCCTTAGTGGACCTCTAGGGCTCTCTGCACCACCACTAGTGCTCCTTCTGTGTGGGCTCTTGGGAAAGTATCAGGGTTGCTGTGGTAACCTGCAGCAGGGCTCTGATAACGTTCCGGACCAGTTCACTGCATGCTCTCTGGACTCCTGGCAGTACAGAGGGCTGGAGAGGGAGGGAGATCATTGATCTCCTTGCCCACTTTGGATCCCTTTCAAACATGCCCCTAATTCTGCCCATAATCCCACATCAGCAATTCCCTCTGCTGATGTTTGTATTGATATCGCACACACAAAAAAATGCAATTTAAAATTTTAGTAGGTTCCTTCAAATTACCTGTCTCTGCAAACAAATGAGGATTCAGTTCCAGCATACTGCCAGATCGTGTTATGACCACCACTATGTCACAGTAACCCAATATTGATAAACTACCAACATTTATATTCTGATAATGATCTTGAGTATGATTAACCCACTTGCCACTCATTTTACCCTTGGTCCAACCCATAATACCTTAGAGGAGAGAGAAATTTTTAGCCCAAATAAAAATAGTTTGATGATGAAACTTAACTTTTAATATAGCAATTAGTAAAAGGATTATAGTATAGCCACTAGGTGGCAGTAGAGTATGACCACACAACAAATGTAATGATTGAACACAATGATACTAAGTGATTATTATTTTATTATTAATATAGCGCCAGCAAAATTCCCTAGCGCTGTACAATGGGTGGACTAACAGACACGTAATTGTAACCAGACTAATTGATTTATAAACAATATGTACAGTGTTAAAAAAGCAAAAGAAAATATATATACATATGCTAGTAGCAGCCAGAGCAGAGTGGCAACAATTGTGGGTAATACTTGAACTGTAAGGAATAAAGTGTAATATGTCACTAATGTCAATAGGATACAACGTAATATCTGAGTTGCTATACTGTGCCAGGGGAAACCCTCTGCTAAACAGTGCTCAGTCTCTGTATAAATGCTACAGGAATATGTAGAGAAAAGTCCAAAGGAGGACTAATGGTGAAAAATACCCCTTTAGTCCAGAGATCTTCGATTTTATTCTCCCACCCTTTTTTTTTTTTTGGTTACTCAACACTAGGTTTTAATACCTTCCTAGGGAGACAGACTGGTCAGATTCAGAAAGCAACTCATCATCCCAGACCAGACATACCAGCAGAGACCGAGCAAACCAGTCTTCCAACAATAGAAGTATTCTAAAAAATTTGGACAGATCAGTGTTGTTTTTAGATTCTCCAGTACCAACTAATACGGCAGAGTCCACTCTCTCTACCGCTGCATCTTCATCTTTTTTTAGATCAGGACTCTCCACGCAGGCAGAGAACGAGATTACGGGACAGAGAAAAATGGGCTTCCAAATCCTGCACCAGACTGTAACCCCTGACTATAACAAAATTATCAATCTACCGGACTTCTCACTCCTCCCTAGACACCTCTCTCTGCTTAACAAAGTTCTCTCATTTGTCGCCACTCCAACCTGGGACAAGTTTGAGTGGTCTAAAGATTTGCATTTATTTGGACGCAAGCTAGTCGTGGACGTCTTTCACAAACGCCAGGACAATAAAACTGCCCCTGAAATGGGTCTAACCCCCACAAGATCTCACTTTTGTCCACACTCTTAATGAACTACTTGCCGAACAAGATCCACTCCAACCCATGACACGGAATTTGTTCACACGAAACCTTAAAGACATTCCACATGTGGATCTATTCGTCCAGTTAACTACTGAGGAATTGGAGAATAGTATGAACAACACTGTTTCTATTCAAAATCTCTCTTGGAATGAATGCAAAGCCCTTAAGAAACTCAGAGAAGCAAATGGCACTATAATCAAGCCAGCTGAAAAGGGTGGGAAGATTTGTAGTATACACAACTATATAAAAATGTGTATGGAACATCATAAAGGGAAACTCCAGTGCCAGGAAAACAATCAGTTATCCTGGCACTGCAGGTCCCCTCTCCCTCCCACCCCCCAATCCCCGGTTGCTGAAGGGGTAAAAACCACTGCCGCGCATGCGCATTAAAGCTCCCCATAGGAAAGCATTGAAAATGCTTTCCTATAGGGAACTGAGCGACGCTGGAGTGCCCTCTAGTGACTGTCCAGTAGACAGCCACTAGAGGTGGAGTTAACCCTGCAAGGTAATTATTGCAGTTTATAAAAAATTGCAATAATTACACTTGCAGGGTTAAGAGTAGTGGGAGTTGGTACCCAGACCACTTCAAAGGGCAGAAGTGGTCTGGGTGCCTGGAGTGTCCCTTTAATGACCATAATACCTACCACCTTTTAACCTCAGACCCTACAACTAAGTTCCTATACGAATTAAAAACTTTAGTCTCAGACGCCTTTGACAAAAAGCTAATCAGCTCCCAAGAGTTCAAGTACCTGCTACCCAACTACAACTCCACTGTTGCCACATTCTATTGCCTGCCTAAGGTTCATAAGAACATCACAGATCCTCCAGGCAGACCAATAGTATCTGGCAACAACTGCTTTAATGAGAGACCCGGTAAATAGTATTCTACACCCACTAGTTAAAGTTACCATCATACCTACAAGATAGAAAAGAGACTTTACTTGCATTAGAAAACACCATATCCCACCATATACCCTATTGGCCAGTCTTGATGATGTCTCCCTGTATAGCAACATACCGCATGCATATTTTTCTTGGACCGTACATCATTTGATCAATCTCAAAAAGACTTAATTCTGTCCATCCTTACATTTGTTCTGAATCACAACTATTTCATCTTCAATGGCAAATTCTGCCTTCATTTTACTGGCACTACTATGGGCACAGCTTGTGCCCCTAGCTTTGTCAATCTTTTTCTAGTGTGGTGGGAGCAGTATGTCATCAGTTCCTCTGCCTATGATGTCTACCAACATTACATCCTACGTTGGTACAGGTATATAGACTACATACTGCTCCTATGGACAACCTCAACATTTGAACAATATGTGGACGATTTGAACCATAACGAGATCAATCTTACACTCACTCATGTCATTCATGAGAGTGAGATGATCTTCCTGGATCTTAAAATCATACTGTCCTTAGACGGCACACTACATACACAAATGTACCTAAATCAATTTCCAGTAAATAGTATCTTACACTGGCAAAGCCATCAGCCTCCCAGACTTAAATCCTCCATTCCATATGGCCAGTGTAACGGATCACCTGGCACCCCGACTGGGTACCTCCATTGATGGATGCTTCTAGCGCTTCTTGCGGGCTAAAAGCACTCTAGTCGACACCACAACCACCACAGTCAGAACCTCTCTTCCTTCTGAGCGAAGCAGGAACAAGCTCTTAAAAGAGCTTAGGAGTGATTATAGCAAGGGAATACGCAGAGCATAGCAATCCCTTGTAGCAGATTCCCCCAATAAGAGACAGGACTCCAAATTGAGGGTGTAGTAGAACTGTCTAAAACTTTATTTTACTTGGGACTAGCCCATATGGTCATTACATTAACATTGCTTTGAAAACTCAATAAAATTACAAACAATCAAATCATAGCAGGCAACATACAGTGACTTATTATAACATAATTACATATTTATAAATTAGCAATATGCAAATTACCAGTCTTGCTATTCAGGTAGTGCATATTACTGTTGCTACCAACAAAGGGCACTAGACAAGCTCCATAGCCAAATCCACCTAGTTGGTAGCAATCCTCAGCAGTACAGGAGAGCAGGCAATACATCCCAGTGGCCATAGTCACATGGCAGGAGGCTGGCAATCAGTCTTCTCCAATGCCCAGTGGCGAGGCTGGTTCCGCCACAGCCAGTACCTAAGGGTTCATAGAATCTCCTCAGATAACAGACTTTTTTCAAGAATGCCTAGAATTAGGAGTCCGATTTCGGTCCCTTGGATGCCCTAAAAGCATTTCACAAAGTTTATCAAATAGAGCATCTAGTTTAAGAACCAAACAAAACCATCAGATGTATTTCCACATTTGATGGTGGCTGGCCAACTATAGCTGACACTCTATTAAAAAAAAAACAAAAACACTGGCCCATACTTACATAATCAGGACCTTAAAGAATCTTTAACCGCATACCCAGCCATCACAGCTCGCCAGTCACCTAGCCATCTTGAAACTAAACCCATGGATCCACTCTGGCTTACTCCTACTAAAGGCACCTATCGTTATGGCCACTGTAAGGAATGCAGATACATATCACCGAGCAAATCTACGTCCAACCAAAGAAACATAATAGTTAACACTAACGCCTTTGTTAATTGCAGTACCACCAAAGTCATATACTTAATCACCTGCTCATGTCAAAAACTATAGGTAAAACGTACCAGGAATTTAGACAAAGTATACTCCAACATATCAATTCGATCAATAGTTCCGGTAATTTCACTCTTATTGCCAGACACTTGATCAATTTTCATCACGCTGATCCTGACCATATTTGGTTTCAAGCCATTGAAAAATTAATCCCTACCTCATGCAAAGAAAATATTAATTTCAAATTACTTCTAAGGGAATCTAGATTCATCTACAAATACCAAACAATGGCATGCAAGGGGTTAAATGAAGCATTTAATTATACCCCATTCATTCACTCATAATATAAACTCTCTCAACCCCTCTCCTCACCAACCCTCTATTTGAATATGCAATCCAAGTAGATCAATGTCTTAAGATACAATGACACACTGAATATTTCTTCTGTCAATTATAACCACTCTTCTACATTATTCACCATTAATAATGTATGCATTAACAAATTAAGACACTTCCATCATATTCAATGGGCTATTAACCCTTATTAATTTTTATTTATTTATCATTATTAGTATTATTCCTAGTGTTCAATCGAACAATTTTGATTTCCCATAATCATCTTAAAGTTTATCCTTTTACTGCTAATTGGCCGACTCTACTGCCAATCAATATAAAACTGTTCTCTGATTGGACACATTCCAACTACAATAGCCCTATATACGTATATATTTTCTCGAAAGCTAGTGGTTACTGTGTCCAGTGCGCTTATAAATTTAGTACCGTGATATGCAAGCAGCTATACACTCTAGTGGGTGTTCTCCTTCCCCCACTCAACATAAAAGTGAACCAAAGTGAATCTAGTATGAACTGGGTATGAATCCAGACCTTACTAGTCAAATGAGTGAAGCGCTATATATTTTCACTTACCCTAATTTAGGGTTAAATCTCAGATGTATGTTGATACATAAAAGTAAAAAAAACACAATACAACACAATATAGTGTAAATCTATAAATAATGGGGATTTTTGATGTTATAACAATGGTCAAACTCACATGGAATAGAGCCTCAAACAGGACAGGCTCAAGTCACTTTCACCGTAGTGTCGTAAGGAGACACTGCACCCTTTGACTGGATTAGAATTTCCTCAAAGAAAGAAAAAAGGAGAAAAAGGGGAGAAGCCCCCTAGTGTACTATGTTTTGACTTAATAGTTACATACACAGTAGTTATGGTATATATTTTCTCCCCTATTCTAGGACTTCAGAGATTAACATTACTATTAACAAAATACATAAGTGTAATTCAAGACATCCTTTTTTACATACACAATAGGCTAAGTTATATTGTACTTATTTATTTATACTTCTGTTTAATACATTGCCAATCTCAATTTTCCTAAATCATTATACCATCCATCCTTTTAGTGTAACATAACTGACCATTTCGATTGGCTGACTCACCTGTCAATCAAATGAAAATCACTCCTGATTGGACACACTTCAACCAATTAAAAATTATAGCCAGATATTTAAAACCTCTGTTCACAGAGGCTCACTTCCACCTGAAGAGCATCGTGCTCCATTTATCACTTGTGGCTAATCTGCAGACGCTTAACAGATATTTTGTTACATCCCACTGTGTAGCAGACCTCCGCTTACTGTATTCTTCAGACGCAGCTTGACCCGAGTGTACTGTTCTCTAGAATACTGCTCTATAAGTGACCGCTAGAAAGCAATTACTTTTGGCGATTACAGATCAGCTAATATTACGAGCAGCATTATTTATCACTTATTCCTCTATTCCTCTACTCGCATACTGCTATATTGTTTACCTTTGGTAAATACAGGTGCCCTCGAAGGCACAGATTAGCCAAGACAACAAGCAGTATTACTTTATCTCAAGCATTTAGGTATGATGATGGTAATCAGGGCTGCAGATCAGAGATAGCTAGCATTAGTCCTATAGACTCTAGCACAGGTGCCCATGAAGGTACAGATCAGACAACAGAATTGACAGCTTACCACTCCTATCACCATTACCTTTGCTAACGATATTGTATTTGTCTTTTACTAGTTATTTTGCACTATTAGTCCTCCTTTGGACTTTTCTCTACACATCCCAGAAGCTGTTATACAGAGACTGAGCACTGTTTAGCCGATGGTTTCCCCTGGCACAGTATAGCAACTGTGATATTATGTTGTATCGTATTGACATTAGTGACCTATTACTTTATTCCTTAC